CTGTGACAGTCACTTGTGATCTCGGCTATGTTGTAAACACTGTGAGTCTACAGAAAATCTTTTTCTTTCCAAAGCACTTTATATATGTTTATTAGTCATTGTTATGCTAAGTACATTCTCATTTCTCCAAGTAGCTAGGGACTCAGGACCTGTCAACAAAGTACGAGACTACATGTCAGAACACGGGCGTATGGACTCCCAATTACAACTGTGAACGTGAGTCTGAATTCTGACTTCTGTTTTTTTTTTTTTTTTTTTTAAGACTTCATGTTTTTTCTGTTTTTTTCACATTATTTCAACACTGTCTTTTTTCTTCATAAATTCTCTCAGCTGTGGATTGTAGTCTTCCTAGTATCCCAGACGATGGCATCCTTCAGTTGGTAGGCTCAGATATCACAGAAACTCAGTATAACGCCCAGATCACGTTCAACTGCAGCTCCAAGTATTACAAACTGGAAGGAGATGGTGATTATAAGAAGCTTAAATTAACCTTGAAAGATTTAGTTTTGCTCTGTGAGTTTTATTCACTTATGTTCTCTCTCTGATCTTTCAGAAACATACACTTGTAGTGCTAACGGTGAATGGGTATCTAGTGGAGGCAAGATGGAGATGCCAAAATGTGTTGAAGGTAGAGCTCTTTATAAACTCTCATATTACTTCTCAGTTCTTTGGAGTTTTTTCCATTAGACATGAATCTATCGTTTCCTTTTTGTGTATTTCAGTTTGCGGGACGCCTGAAAAACATACTGCTAGTGCGGGCCGGATCTTGGGTGGTAAGGATGCAAACCTGGGAGAAATACCTTGGCATCTTTTAATAAAAGAACCAAAAAGAGGAGGAGCGTCACTGATAAATGACCGCTGGGCTGTGACTGCTGCTCATGTTGTGGAGGATGTGCAGCAGAACGCACTGCGCATGTTTGGGGGACTGGTTCATAGAGAGGCAATGACAAACAGGTTTTCAAATGTAGCTGAGATGGGCATAGAGCGTATCATTATTCATCCCCACTACAACACAGGCGTCAGAGATCGCACCAATTTTGACAATGATATTGCTCTCATCAGATTGGCTTCCAGGGTAGCTTTAGGCCCAAACATCCTTCCTATATGTCTTCCAGAAGGAAACAGAGGTTTGTTGGACAATGAACAGGGCACAGTATCAGGCTGGGGGATGACAGAAGGGCCGCAAGGTTTCCATCAGTCCAGCACGTTAAAATATGTCGATATTGGGGTCTACTCCCTCGCACAGTGTCAGGATACACCTTACACAAAAAGTAAAAAACGCACCGTTTTCACCAACAACATGTTCTGTGCCGGAGCAACAGGAAAGGACAGCTGCCAGAAAGACAGTGGAGGTCCCTTTGTTCTGCCTGTGTTGAGTGAAGAGGGGCCGTATTATTTGACCGGCATTGTGTCCTGGGGACCCCCATGTCGGGACAGGCAGTACAAGGGTTACTATACCAAGGTGGAAAATTATGTAGACTGGATTAAAACAACCATAGATGCAGTAGAAACATCTATCATTTAAGGTAGGAAAGGGGGAAATCCATAACTAAATACTTAAAGGTCACATATTATGCAAATGGCACTTGTTTTTCTAACACTTATATGTGTTCCTAGTCTGTCAACAACCCCCCCCCCCAATTATGAGAAAAGTCCATCCTCTCTGTCTTTTGCCTGCTCCTCTTCTCGGTAAATGTGTGCTCAAACAGGCTGTTTGAAGATTTTCCCTTTGTGACATCACAAAGAGCAGTAACCCCTCCCCCAGATGGATGAGACTCCCACAGCTAGGTGTTTGTTCTGCCCTCTGAGTCTGCCTTCTTATCATAAATGATAGGGCAAGGTGCAAGAAAGCCAGAGCCACCCAAGCCCTTCCAGGGGGGCGTGGTCAGACACAGCTCATTTGCATCTTAAGCTACAGACACTGAAACAGCCTGTAGAATATTGTGGTTTATAGACATGCTAAAATACAGGATCAGAGTGGATTTTTAACAAGAAACTTCACAGGCATGTTTTGGGCAGCTCTGAGACTCATTTAAACTCGTTGAAAAGGAGTATCATATGTGACCTTTAAATTGTGTAATGCATTTCAAGTTGGATTCAAATCTCTGAAATAAAATGTTCAGGAAAACAACAATAATCTTGTAATCAAATGTGCTAACATCCATAACATTGTGCTGTGATCACAAAATGACTTCATACTTCACTTTGTAATAAAGAACATTTGCAAATCAACATCAGAGAATGTTTGTTTTAACCAACTAAATGTATACTGTATTACTGCCTATTAAGCAACAATTTAAACAGACATAAGCCTTTAGGGCCTCAAACACCAGCATATTTATTTCACAGTGTAAATTCGACATACTCATTAATTTCTATAATAGTTTAGACTTGCAGCACCTTATATGGACACATTTTCTGGAGTTGCACGTCCTCAGTGTAGACCAATTTATGTGTCTTAAACACGTTATGGCTATTAGGGCTGGAAGATATCAGAATAAGAATCAGGTTTCATTGCCAAGTACATTTACACATAAATGGAATTTATCTTGGTGTATTGGTGCTAAACAATTAATAAGGAAATAAAGCAGAACTAGCAACAACTTCAATAATAAAATAGGCTATATGAAGCAATTACAATATAGAAAATAAAAAACACAAAATGTACAAAAGGTGTAGGAGCTTTGTACTCGACAATGAGAATAAATCTTACAGTGTATAATCTACTCACAGAGTGCATGTAAGGAAATACATTTAAAGTCCAGTGAAATATATATATATATATATATACTGTATATAGGCCCCTTTTCCACTAATTATTTGGATAGCAATTTAGCAAAAGAATTAAAAAAGAATTATTGTAATGATTTTTGGTGTGTTAAACTGATTAAGCACTTAATCAAACACACTGTTCCTACATGTTCTATATCCAACTTAAAGTAAATACAGTTTTGTTTGTTTTCTGCCTTAAACAGCTGTAATGTCACTTCCTCCTGTGTGGCTGCAGTATTTGGATAAAACTACCATTTGGTTCTGTCAGTAATGTATCAAATGATTTATAACATCTTGTTTTTCATCCTGTAATCTCTAGTACTAACATTAGATTTTGTTATTTTGCAGGATTAATTATCATGTGTTAGGGGTTCTTTGTTTTTGAACTGTTGGTTAACAAGGGGGAAGGGCATATATTTTGAGTTCATCATGGTATCAAAGTGGCATGGTTAAACATTGCCTAAATTACTCAAATGCTTCTATGTGATACCTTGGGTGCCAAAAACCTTTATCAGCCGCTTCACCCTATTTTGTAATACCCAAATGTATCACTAAAAGTCCTTGCAAATGCTCTCGTGTTTGAGTATGCTGAAAAATCCAATAGCTCCCTCTTGTGGTAGAGATAGAATTGTGCATTTGTTTTCAATATGGGCAAAAGGCCTGAGAGCTGTTCAAAACAAAATCCATTTATTGAGATAATGATGTGATTATAAAATGTACGAGTTGTTTATCATTGGAGGTGTCATCCAAAAGCTGTCTTCATTCTCTATCTGAGAGGAATTGTTTCCAGCATTGACACTTCTACTTTCTCTAAAATTGAAACTCAGCAAGAGTTCGGTTTATTTTGCCAAGACAAACAAGGCTTATTCCCGGCATTTACACGCTGAGTTGCTACACTCTTGAAAGACAGACTTTGTGACATTAAAGTTTCACTTGACAGCGGGTCATTCGCTGCTCTGCATATCAGTTCACTAAAGGACTCGATATTTAATGCCGAGATGGGGTTGATGACAAGCATCATCTGGTAAGTTTAGATGGAATTGAAACAATATTTTAAAGTCATACGTACATAGTTTTTGGCCTGAATTTCTAGTTTGATTCCAAAATTTGATAAATTTTATGTGTGCAAGCATAGTTATTGTTGTATTATTTTCTGTAAAAACAATATCTCATGGCAGCTAATCAGTGTTTAAGGTTGAATGAGTGCTTCATCTCTTTATATGCCACATAAAAATCTCACAATATTATATGGTTGGCATTGAATGTGCTGGTTGTGTCTCTGTGTTTGTTCTTCCTCTGTTTGCATCAACTTTGGACCAGGAGCTCAGATGATCACAAGCTGATAAACAGATCGAACTCTCTGTTTCCAGGTTTCTGTTTTTGTCAATGAGTGAGTGCTGGCGACTGCCTGAACCAGACCCTCCAATGCACGGGGAGGTCCAGTCCCCCCAGTACCCCCAGCCTTACCCTCCTAACATGCTGGAGCAGTGGGACCTCAGAGTGCCAGAGGGTTACCGGATCAGACTCACCTTCACACACCTGGACATTGAAGCTTCTGCAGAATGCCATTATGATGCCCTAACAGTCAGAGCCTCATATCATCTCAAAAATAACAGACCAGTGTTTTTGTTGTAATCTGATGGAGAGATTGAAAGGCTTGAAGAGGTCAAAAGCTCTGTCTTTGTGTTGCTTGAGCTTTTTGACCTCTTCAATGTCTTAAACTAAGCATGGCTTAAGTGCCAATTTGATAGTTTAACCAAGGCTTGAATATTTGGTGACTTTATTTCAATATCTTAATGCAGCATGGGTATTGCATATAATTCAGCTTTTCTCCTTGCCGTACAAAGTTTTTTTTCTTGCTTAGTCACTAGTGGCTCACATAAGGGTTCCCCTCCAAGATTTAGGCAGTGTCTTTTTTGTTGTTTAAACACTTTTTTGGGGACCTGGGTCCCAAATAATCAGTAATTATTAACAATAATAAGCTTCTCATATACAGCAGAACCTTAGAGGGCACTGGTACAGAGGACAAAGTCCTTAACACATTGGCAGCGACTCCTGGCCTCGGCCCTCTGATACATGTCTACCCCACTCTCTCCTCCCAACATTTCCTGTCTTCCACTTCATCTCTTCAGCTGTCCAATCAATAGATGCCCAAAAATTATCCTAAAAGATTTGCATTTTTTTGAGTGGAGTTTAGGCTTAAATTGGCTGGAATAATTGACTGAAAAACTACAATATAAAATGTTCCTGATAAGTGCTTGCCCTATACTGTTCCTTGTCTATATTTTTTTACAATAAATAAGTCCATTAATACTGTGTTCTGTAAATGCATTCAGACAAGCCTGCAGGTCTGTCTCCCGATGAGAAATATTTCACCCCTTGTCTCATTCTTCAGGTCCTTTATGATGAAAAGGTTTTGGGGAAGTTTTGTGGCCATGAGAATTCTGCTGATGTGCAGCACCCTGGCAACCAGCCCATGTTGTCTCCAGGCAACAAACTCACCCTCATTTTTCAGTCAGACAACAGTAACCCAGAGCGGCACCAGAACCTGGGCTTCTCTGCTCAGTACCAGGCTATAGGTAACTTCATCCACCTTCTGTCTGCTTCCTTTTCACTTCACTGCTTCACTCTCTTCCACTGACTTACTGTCCTGCTTATTACCAGACATAGACGAGTGCTCTGCACCTGAACCTGCAGACGGCTCCGGTCCACTCTGTTCTCAGATCTGCCTTAACACCCTTGGCTCGTACCTCTGCTCCTGTCACCATGGCTACGAGCTCCGTTCAGACCAACGGTCCTGCATGTGTGAGTATTGGGCCGATACACACCCTCTGGTATTTAAGTTTGACAACTACCCGGGTATAGCAAGCAAGAGGTGTGCTAATACAAACTCATGGGACACAATTTCAAATTACTTTAACTCACCTGCTTTTACACGTACGCCATAGCTAAAGCTTACAGTCCAATCCAGAGTCAGTTGGGTCACTGTCATTGGGTGAGAGGCGGGGTACACCCTGGACTGTCTGCCAGTCAATCACAAGGCTAACATACAGTAGAGAGACAGACAAGCCACACTCACATTCACACCTGCGGGCAATTTAAGAGTCACCAATTAACCTAACAAGCATGTCTTTGGACTGGTGGAGGGAGCCGGAGTACCAAGAGGGAACCCACGCATGCACAGACAGGTCCTGTCCAACAGGGATTTGAACCAGGAACCTCTTCACTGTGAGGCAACAGTGCTAACTAATACCCCACCGTGCAGCCTAGTTTTGTACAACACTCCTGAAATTAATCCTACCACCAAGATAATAAACTGTGTTTCAATTGTACTTTAGAATAATTTTGTAGAGCCATTGGACAGTATTATAAAATACAGAGAGGTATTTCTGTTTTGTAGTTTCATAACAGAAATTCCTTTCTGTATATAGTGCAATATAATTCAACATCACTACAAAGTGTATCTTTCAAAATGACAGGTTGAATCCACAGCTCTTCAAAATTCTATCGTTGTATAAGAGCACAAAATAAAAGAACCTTACAAATCAGAAATAGAGTCCCTGCTTACCTGCATTAACTGACCTTATACCAATGGAAACCAGTAGGGGCTAAAAAGCTGTGACAATGTTAAAGATCACATACTATCCTCCTTCTCAACCAGTGTAAATAAGTCTCAGAGCTCCCTAAAACATGTCTGTAAAGTTTCTTGGTAATACTCCACTCTGATCCTGTATTTTATCATCCCTATAAATCTCTCTCTTTCAGCCCTGCTCAGAACAGGCTGTTTCTGTGTCTGTAGCTTAAAATTCAAATGAGCTGTGTTCAAACACACCCCTCTGGAAGTTCTTGGAAGGCTCTTGCTTTCTTGCACCATAGTTTGTAGACAGACTAGGGACATATGATATTATTAGAAATACATGGTAAAGTGTATTCTATAAAATATGTGACCTTTAAAATACTGCCACCTTTTTGCTTGGGATTGTAAACTTGCTACCAAACACTAGTTTATTAAAATCTGATACAGATAGCCTTAATTGGACTCATGTTTCTGACCACTTGATGGATCCAAGTGCAAGATTTACTTTTTTTGTTTTTTTTGTTTTCCAACAACTCCTGAAGATAGTTAATGACTGTCCGCTGCCTTGTCCTTAAGCTGACAGAATTGAGAGGATTAATACTGAATCTTTATTAATGGGTTAAACCAAATTATTTCTTCCTTTTTCCAAATGTCCAGTATCCTGCGGTGGTGGTATATTTGACGAGCCAGAGGGACATCTTTTCAGTCCAGGATACCCTAAGCCCCCCCTTCATGCTGTGTCCTGTCAGTACATCATTTCAGTAGAACATGGCTTTGTCGTCTCTCTTAACTTCACTGACAACTTCCACATCGAGAGCATGGACACTGAGCAAGGCCCAAACTGTCTCTATCACTGGCTGCAGGTAAAAAAATAAACATCCCTCAAACACTATACATGTGCATTTATCAAACATAGCAGTTTAAGGGTATTATATAAACAACTAAAGAGCTAAATTACCTATACTTTTCTCTCTGTAAAGGTGACCATTCCAGACAGAGAGCCTGTGAAGCTGTGTGGTGGAAAGAGTCCAGGTGTGATAGAGACAAACTCCAACACCGTGAGGCTGGACTACCACACTGATGATGACGGCCTGAGCCTCGGCTGGAGCCTGGATTACAGCACACACAGTGAGGAGGGGTTTGCCAATGAGGGGTTTACATCTAACAGTGTTCTTAATCATGTATATAAAATTGCACAACATGACCACTCCCCAAAACTCCTCCATATGATAAGATGGAACATGGGTCAAACTAGGATATAAAAGGAGAGTTGCAAGTGATTTTCCATGTCTGTTTGTCCATGTTGTTTTCAGGAGTGAAGTGTCCATTTCCTGGTAATCTCGCAAAGGGCAGGGTCACTCCTATCTTGACTGAATACTTCTACAGAGACTACATCTCTGTGCGCTGTGACCAAGGCTACAAGCTCATGATGGTAAGATGAAATGTAACTTCTCTTTAACAGTGTCTAATACTTCAAATAAACAGGACATAACTTTTGGGATGTTTCCTCCAACAGAGTGGTTCAGAGATTGACAGTTTCTCTGCCATGTGCCAAAACAACGGACAGTGGCACCTCCCGCTGCCAGAATGTCAAAGTATTTTCACCTCTAAGCTCAGACCAAATATCTTTTATTATAAATGAAAAAACTATCATGCTTCAACCACAAAGTACATTTTATTGATTTTTCCTGAGTCTTACTGACAAAATACAAATATGTCTTCTTCTTTTGTTCCTCTGCAGTAATTGATTGTGGAGAACCTGAACCTTTGTTGAATGGAGGCGTGACCTTCCTGTCTGGATTTCAGAATCAGTACCTCTCTGTAGTTCAGTATAACTGTAATGAACCTTTTTACTCTCTCCTTGGCGGTGTAACTGGTAAGAACATCGATGATTTCGATATCAGGTCACTAACATTTACAACAGGCTCAATCGTATCATCCATCATGGTGAAATGCATTCATTTACATCAGTTTGTATCAGTCAGTATTACATTATTATTTTGTGGTAATGTAGTTTAAGTGGGGATATCAGTGTTTGTTTTTTACATCAAAATCTTATATATATGGATATCTGAAATGCTCATGTAGGCTGGAAAGATTTTAATTGCAGATATCTGTAGTGCGTTATGCAGTCTAGCTTTTGAATGTTAAAACCGCCTGCTGTAGTCTTCTTTCTGCTCTTCAGCGACCTTCACTTGTGAAGCAGACAGAAACTGGAGATCAAACAACAACATTATTGTACGTCCAGCATGCATACCAGGTATTCCTTTTTTAAGATTGAAAATGATACTTTGAGGAAATCTTATCTACATTTTAGTCTACAAAATGTTCTTTTTAATTGAAGATGATATGTTTCCGAATTATTAATCTATTTGTGCACGTGTGTACTCCAGTGTGCGGCAAGCCCACAGAGGATATTTCCAACTTTCAGAGGATCATTGGAGGCGTTGACGCTCCGGCTAACACCATCCCCTGGCAGGTTTTATTAAACGTGGATGGAGGAAGAGGAGGAGGCATGGTGATCGGAGACAAATGGATTATGACTGCAGCTCATGTCCTAAAACGAAATAGAGAGACAGCATCAACTGCATCTATAAAGGTGAGCGGACTACCTTTGGTTTTCACCACATGCCAATTGCATCCATTCCTATTAATTATTATTTTTTTCTTCATTTTTGCAGATTTACATGGGAGGTAATTTTGTTAATGACATAATGGGCTCTATGGTGAATGCCTCCTCAGTCCACATTCATCCTGATTACAACAACCCAAACAACATAGACTACAACAACGACATCGCTTTGATCAAACTGCAGAACCCACTCACGTTCAACTCATCTATTATGCCAATATGTTTGCCAGGAGATGATGCCACATATGTCACTGGCATAGTCGGGTAATTACATATCTGCTGAGCTTCAATGAATTTTTAAGGCTGTATGATGCTTATTCAGTTATATTATTTCATTGACCTGTTTCTCAGTTGTACTATTCCTTTGTCACTTGATTTGTATCTTTGAACCCAACTCTCTTTTTTGTTCTTTTTTTTTTTTTTTAACAGAGTGGTGTCAGGCTTTGGCCAAATAAAAACCGAAAACCGACGGCAGTTGACAAATAGGCTAAAATATGTGGAGCTCCCGTTGGTAGAACAGGGGATTTGCCATGATTCAATCGATAAGGTGAAGAGGATAAGGAATAATGTACCTACTCTGACAAATAACATGTTTTGTGCTGGAATCCCTGAGGGTGGGAAGGACTCCTGCCAGGGTGACAGTGGAGGCCCCTTCGCCCTGATGGACAACGAGCGCTTCTGGGCTGCTGGGATTGTCAGCTGGGGGGGTTGACTGTGGACGCCGAGAAACCTACGGAGTGTATACCAGAGTCCTCAACTACATTGACTGGATCAACAAGGTTTTGAAGGAGAACTGAAACCATCAGTTAAAATAAATGTGATGTGAAGATATTGATGCAGCACAAGTAAACAACAACATTTAAAATAAAATGAAAGAAAACATTACTTATGTGTAAGTTTCTTTTAAACATGAATAGTAGCGTTTGAAAACTCGTAGTGAATTATTTTTATATTGAAGGGGCTGCACACTATATTTAACTCATCCACAAACACAATGGTACTCCTCATTCTACTAATTCACGGGTCAAACATGTTCTTGGAAAGTTCATACTTGCATTTATTTAAAAAATGTCCTGGGTTAACTTCTACTGCTAAGTGTGTATATTAATGTAAAAGATATTAGACCATTAATGTCCTGGGGGTTGAAGAACAAAAAAGGTCCATTTGATAAGTTTGGCCCAAAACTGCAGAAAAACAGAGATATGGTTACACCATGAGGTTATGTAATCGGACATGCATCAACACATTTCATTTAGCCTACTTCCCAAAGTTTCAAAACACAAAAACAGACAGTGTTGGAAATAGTGGCATGGCGTGTCAAAATATTCCCGTTATGACGAGAAAACAAGCTTTATTATCTCAAGATAATGAGATAAATGAATCTGTAATAATGGGAAAACCAGCTTTATACTGAGATAACAAGAAACATCAGAAGAGATCTCGAGAAAACAACCAGAAATGACTTGTTAGCGCAGGAAAATTTAAAAGATTGTCTTGATTCATGTCCATTTAGGGCTTCCGTATGGAACAACTTTCATTTTGTCTTGGCCAGTCAAGACAAAACAACAAAGTCCAGAGGCCTTCAGCACCTCAGGACAGTGTGGGAGGCACTGAGGACCTTTTTGACCTTCTCTGCTCCCCTCATCCAAAAATGTGTTTCTCTGTGATTTTGATACTGTGCCTTCTGATCAGAGGACATGTCTACTACTTCTACTGCAACTCAGGGAAGTCAATTTCATTACTAAATTTATAAAAATCTGTGTGCTGAGCCAAACTAGTGAACATTAGGCCACATAGTCTAAAGACAATATTGTAGTGTACTCCGACAGTTCAATCATTCTCACCTCATGATTTAAGTGACAACGTTTTCGTCTGTGTCCATGGCGACTGATGATCTAGTCCCTGCAATTCTCTCATTGGACGGTCTCGTATGTTTACTTTCACTTTCGCAGCTTCGCTGCTGAAGATCACGCATGCGCAGTAGACAAGCGTACATCTATGTTCTACGACGATTAACTTCTGAATTAGGTTTTGTTCTTTTTTCTCTACAGCTTTGATGGGCTTACATTATCATTGCACCTAGGAAGGCTTTCTTACCCAGCACTGGAGCAAAACAATGAGTTTTTGTTAGTCGTTGAAATCAAAAGTGAAAGTTAGATGGTGACTGTGTTATCAGGACTTATTTCACTTTATGAAAGGTTGTTGTAAGGTTAAACGTTGTCTAAAAAAAGCTTCGAAAATCCAAGAGACGCCGTGATGAATATTGAAGTTATTTTATTTGGGAGCTTCCTGACGTGCATCTGTGGTAAGAGCATTCATGTTTGACATTTTGATGCCGTATTGATGCTAACAGGATCATTTAAAATAAATGAATGCATGGCCAATAAGCTTTCAATTAATGTCTGCCAGTAAAGCTTAGTTATGGCTCTTTAAATGTCGGGACTTTTCCTGAACAAAACATTTATTTAGTACCTGTTGTAGAAATAGGCTACAGGTTCACTTCATATTCCTCAAACTGAATCAATTGCATTAACTGCCAATCGACTTGAACGTAAAGTCTTTCAGTCAGGTAATTTATTACTCTAAAAGTAAATATATTAAGTAATGAATTTGAGTTGAAATGGAGCTGTTTTTCAAATCATTCTGAAATTCATAGTTTCAACAACACAACAAATGTAAGTCTCAGATCTCTGGTATTGTTTGCATGTATATCATATCAAATCATTATTATTATTATTACACAAATACATTATGTAATAATTCTTAATCATAAACTTTTAAATACATGTTAATCCCCAAATTTTAATTCTGTAAAGATGCAACTTCCAGATGAAAACTTAGCACATTAATTCGATTTGAATGAATTGGATATTCTTTCCCTTGTTTTTTCAGCTGATGGTGTTGCAGATGTAGTGCTCTCTTGCACCCTGGTGGAGGAGGGTATGGGTGGAATGGGTGGGGATGCTCTTTTCTCACGGATTCCAGCCACTCTTGTGTTAAGAGATGTTCCTGTGGCTCCTGATGAATCATTGGAAACACTCACCCCGTTTGTACCGCCTTCGGTTCCTGATCTAGACGCCATCCTGTTAGAAGCCAAAGGTTTTTCTCTACATTTTCTAGTCATGAAAGTTGGTTTGATTCAAACCCAACCAGTTTAAAGCTTCTCCTCTCATATCGCTCTGGCAGTGTCATCACCTGAGATCCCAAACGCAGACCTGTTGCTCCATGCGGACTGCAATGAGCAAGAGGTGATGTGTGAAATGAGTCGCTTCTCTCCTCATGGATCCCAGGAGAGTTCAGATGCAGCTTATTTCATGGTGTCTCTGAATGTGGAGGGAGTTGACTTCGGCACTGCACTGATCCTGCAGACTCTGCCGGTGACGACGGACCAGTCAACCCTCATACAAAACAAACTGGGTCTGCCTCTTAGCCAATCAGGAACTCTTCTGACTGAGGGTGAGATCCCATTCCTCCTTTTATTAAGTCTTTCAAATTCTTTAGGTAGGAAATATCATCAGTCCCATAAATCTCTCTAATGATGTCTGTCTCTTTCCTTCCTCTTAGTGATATTCCTGGTGTTTTCTCACATAAAGTCTGTATCTGCCCATCTGAGAGGTGACGTTCTCCTCGACTGTGGCTTCAAGCAGCAGGAGATGCCCTTAGCACAGGAGGTTGGGGTTGAATGGAGACTGCAGCACAGGGGAAAGGGGCAGAAAGTGTTTGAAATGACGACAAGGCCAGAGGATGCAGAAGGGAGCAAAGTGGGTAAGATCTGTGTGTCTGGTCTCCTCTTTCTCATCTTTAAGGAGGATTTAAATACAGAGGAAGACTTCTTCTGGTATCGAGAGTGTTTCTGATGCTATTTTGATGGAAAGAAGCCAAAGGTCGCCGGGGGGCCTCCATACATGGGGCGCACGCACTAACCACTAGGGTACCGGCTATTTAAGTGAAAGTGGCTGAGAAGCTCAAGAGAGGTTCAGAACTCCACCTGAGAAAAGTTGATCTATATGCTTATGAGGACCATCTGATTAGACTATGAGCATTAGTTGTTGAAATTTCTTTCCTCAGTGCATGCAGAGAGGAAAGGCTCGAGCGTGGACGCCACGCTGGTTGTTACTGAGGGAAATGCTTCTGTGACTCTGACCAAGCTGAAGGTTGTTGATGAGGGGACGTACATCTGTACCGTCAGCGTCGGCCTTTTTCATGCCCAGCAGATCATCCAGCTCCGTGTTGTCCGTAAGTTTCACCCTGAGCACTTATTCTGTGGAAAAAGACAATTATAACACAAAATGTTCTACTAATTCTTCCTGTTTACTCTTTGTTTTAAGAGCCCCCTATTGTGTCACTCTCAGAGGAGAAGTTGGTTTTGAAGACATCATCAAAACTGATCTGCCACTCTGTTAAGTACTACCCACTGGATGTTCAGGTCAGTAGCTAGCATGTTTCTAGCTAAATCTTTGAGCAATTGTTTTGTTAATAACACCCCAAAGCCAGAGTTGTTTATTTTACAAGCAAATAAGAGTATATAAATAATCGTATATGTCCTCGACTTGGGTGGCCCGGGTTCGAGTCCAACCTGTGGCTCCTTTCCTGCATATAATTCCCCATTCTTCACACACTCTTTTCCTGATTTCCAACTCTATACACTGTCCTGTTTGTCCAGCAAAGGCATAAAAAGCCCAAACGTAAAGCTTAAAAATAAAATATTGAATACACTAGAAAATGAAACAGCCTAAGAATGAGCATCTTCATTGAGGATTGGTCCAGTATTGGTATTTTCATATGTTTGTTTTTCTGTCATTTAAATGTTTATCTATTCTATTGGTTTATGTCTTTGGTGTGTTCCTCTACTCTTTACATTTATAAAATCTCAACATGAACACATTGATACAAGCACCCGTATGGAAGCTGCTTTACAAATAATGTTAAACTGATTGTTTCGCTGGGTACTGTTGTCTTTTCTTCTGCCCCTCAGATGGAGTGGTTGTCCCTCTCTCCTGCTGACTCAGAGCCTTCAATGCTTCCTGATCAGGGCTCTCTGTTCAGCCATCGGCAGCACGGTGATGGGACTTATTCCCTCTCGTCTCAACTCACTGTGCCGACTGATGTCTCGCCTGGAACTCAAATCATCTGCAGGGTCTCACACCTGGCCCTGGACGCTCCTGTTTCTGTCAGTGTGGAGGTTGAAAGTCCACAAACAGGTATTCACACGTGGCTGCTTTTTGCTGTCTTTTTGCTGCATTGTTTCACAAAAAGATTTACAAATCGAAATCACTCCTATTCTTGCCAAAAATGAGCCCTGAAGATTAACACCACTCTTTTGTATTAACTTATAAATGAAGCTAAAAATCATCCAGTTAGCTTAGCTTAGCATAAAGACTAGAAACAGGGGTACTGACACAATCTGCCTACCAGTATCTCTTATTCTCACTAGTATCAGTGCTTTATCTCAAAAGTTTATCTTGTGTAAAAAAAAATAATATTTTTTTGTGGTTCTGTGTCTCTGCCTCCAAGTTATTAAAGGTGAGTCAAATTCACATTTGGCTGAAACTATATCATGTCAGAGGGCACCACAATTTTTAGAGGCATAATAAAAATCGTGGATGATTTCACGCATTAAACAGAAACTTTTTATGTCTTTGGATTGTTGATCTGCAAAACAATAGTAATAGTAATGGCGCTCAATGTTAACCTTGTTCTTCGTGTCCTTCATTCCACAGAGTCCTATTTGTGGTTTCTGGGCTTCCTGATCGTCACCGTGCTTTTCTTCATCCAAGTCATGAGATAAGTAAGGCGGAGAGATTCTAGCAGATCATCCAGACTTGAAACTGAGCCTGTAAGGACTTCCTTTGTGTCATTTGTTAGTGTGAACGGTATAACTTATTTTGTTTCTTGGTCGTTGGTTCCTCTCACTCTTCTACTGAAAGAAAAAAATCTATAGTTTGGTAAAAACCGCTGTATGTTCTATTTTCTCATTTGTATTTTTTGTTTGTTTTTTCGCTCTAAGGTTTCGACTTTACAAAGTACAAATGCTGCATTTGAATTTCTTTATGGGATGTTCTTACTTGTTTTTTGTATGATTTTGTGAAAGGCAGGGTTGAGATACACATTTTAAGTCACTATTAAAGGCACAAAAAGCCCATAAATAAATCTTTAAAAAAAAAAGAAAGAAATTGTATTCAAGTGCCGACAGAAATTAATAATTTGTGTGCTCTGAAGAAGCACCCAAGAAAATCCATCATCTGTAGCAGTTGTAAGCATGTAAAAACTTCGATCATTATCTGCCATGAGGTACCAATCTGATGAACCAATCACGCCTCCCTGTCTCCCTGCTCGCTCTCTAGCCCTTGCGTGCACTAAGCATGTCACCGATGACAAGCGTGTATACTGTGAGTTAGTCGTTGGCCGTTGTGAGTGGTAAAATAGTCCTCTTTTTTTGAAACCTGTATTATGCAAAATTGTAGTATTTACTTACTGCTGAATGAGACATGACAAGGTAGTTTCTACACAAAGGCGTGGCTTTTGAGGGAGCACTGAGGGGGGCGGTGGGTGTAGACGGAGCTCTGAGGAAATGCTACTTTCAAAATCATGCTAGTTTTCAAAAATTACCAACCTTGCCTTTAATGTTACTCTTTAGTAGTCCACCTTTTGAAAATGAAGTACGCAGCAGAAAATGATTTATGCGTTGCATGTGATGAAAGCTTGTACATTTTGAATTTCATTTTTTAATAAAAGGAAAAATAATTTTTTTTAATTTCAGGCAGATTTTCCAACATGGTCTAAATTGAATGATTGTGTCCAGACATTAAAATAAACATAAGCACTCAGTTCTGTTGGTGATTTCGTTTATTTGCATCAGCAAAAGTGGTAAGCATGCATTTGTTTTTGCAAATCCGATTGCATCTCTTACTTCATATCAGGTTGTAAATCACAAATCTTGTTCTCATATCCCTCTCTATGTCCGGTAATTACCTCATGATATCGTTGCACAGTATCATCAGATAATTATGGCAAACTGCTACAATTATGCATTAAGTGCATTTTGCACATAACATTTTTTTTTTCAACTTAAAATCAGTTCTAAGAGAAGAAAGTCTTTCCTTGAAGTCCAACATTCCTCCCAAAAAACCTGAAAGGATTTATAAACACATTTTCAGGAGTGTAGTCTGACAGCTGATTCTACTTTTCTACCCATACAATACTACATGATTTTGACAGATCACTACAGTAGCAGTTTTTTTGCAGTCTCTGAATAGTATTTTTCTTTCCAAAACAAGAGAATTCAACAAAATTTGGCAAACTCTTGAGCATCATTGCATTGCATAAGCAGTAATCATCCGATCAGAAAGACATATACACAGGCCCTTTCGACCACTAACAAAAGAAAATATACAATCGGCAGTTAGATTCAGAAATGGCAGATACACAGGTCACACAAAGAGGCAAAACTATGGACACCGTTTGCCATGCAAGTTCGAAACAAACACCTCATGTTGGCTGTTACACTGCAAATGACAGGTGAGTTTGTGTTGATGCGGGTGAGGCTCTTGGTTTCTTGAGTCATGTACTTCCTCCCATTTCCTTTCTTTTTGAAGATCAAGACAACTTAAACAACAATCAAACAAATGCGTTTTTGCCTGCACAACTTTCAAAATAAGTTGGCCTTGAACCTGTTCAAAAAATGTGACGCGACACATTCATCTGTCTATGGCTGTGACTCTGCTGAAGTCAGAGTTTAGAGACCTTGCGCTCTTCCTCATGAACACAGGAGATTGTCTGTTAGTGGCTGCTTGTCTTACTGTGCATGTTACTATGCCAAATATAAAGCATAGTTTAAAAACATCTACTTCATCAATAAGTCTTATGAGTCCAGAATCAAGTTTGTCCTCTTTTTTTTTTTACAGGAATAAAAGGATGCATTATTGTTTCTAACTTTCCCTAAAACACATCTTATTTTCCTCTCGTACGGTCTCCTGGCATTTTTCTTTCTCTCCCTCTCTCTCTCTATTACTAAACTGAAATAGAGTGACTAAGAAAGAGAGTTAGGTAGGGAAAAAACATTAGAAATAAAGCTATCAGCTAAACATAATAAATGCTATCAGCTATTATGATTGGGTCACAAATACACACACAAAAACATGTCCATACTCTTATTCTAACATGACTGTTTGTCAGTAATGATGCTAGCAGTTGTGACAGAAGGAGTGTGTTAGTTTGGTATCAATTTACAAATGTAGGACTTTCAAAAAGGGAAACATGGACAAGCTTTGGCGTATCTGGAGTAAAAAGGACCGCAAACACTTGTTTTGTTTTTTCCCCCCCCTGGACACACTCACCTTCTGTACATCGTACAATTTTTCCCCCGTAGCTTTGTTCAGCCCTGTGTGTTCCCGTGTCACAACATTTTTCTCTATCCCTCCTTCCCTTTCTTTCTTCCCCGTTCGCTCGGCCCTGCCACGTCCTTCAATAATACATGAGGTGCAGAGACAGGAGAGAGTGAGCGAAGACCAAACCAGCAGAAGAAAGCAAGAAGAAGGGAGGGACAAAGAGAGCGGAGACACCTAGAGACACTGCTGTCATGTTTAAGTGCAGGATGGTTTGATGGAAGACTGTGTGGCGAGAGGAAGGAGAGGACGGATAACAGGGGACACTTGGGTTTCTTTTTTTTCTCTCTTCTCTCTCTTTCTTAAGTCCGTATCCATCTGTACTGATGGGCTGAGCTCAGTAGAAGAAGTACACTGCCAATGAAGGAGAGGGAGAGGAGGTCATTAGTCTAATGGATCTGGCCGTAAATCACTCCAGGCAAAACGAGACCAGTCAGCTGAGCTCTACTTCTTATGTCCTGTTTTCAGGTTTGTTTTACGTACAATAACCCATCGAACTGCTTTTATATCAATGATTTACTGCAATAAGGAGTCATGGTTAATTTAAAATCAGAGGAGTGGTAAGATGGCTGGACATGAGGTTGTTTGAGCAGAAATACATATAATATGCCTCATATAGCCACGAGCGTCATTTAGCAGAGGCAAAAGAAAAATCTGTGCATTTCCTGCTTAAATTAAAAGTGCTCACACATCAACACTAATGTATACTGACCAACCTACTCCATATAAAATACATCTCCCTTAACAAAATGTACTTTTCTTTATATCTTTACATCACAGTCCTCTGCTCCTGATGTACAAAACCATAGAAAACACTTTTAATCATCTGCTTTTTAACTAACAGCAGCACTTTATACGAGAACCTGTATTAACTGTCAGTCAATCCGTCAGCACAGGGATCAATATTGGCATTAGATTATCATGAATATAAAACAATATTCTACTCACAGAATATGATTCCGACCACAATGACTCCAATGATACCCATCATGATCATCATCTGCAAGAAAAAGAGAACAGAAATTATATATTGTGAACTACTTGTATAAAGGAATTAAAGACGTAGTGTTACTATATGTAGATTTTAAATACAGACTATTATAAATACATCTATAGAAAGGGAAACATTGGATTCTTTGCATGTGTTATGCTTCAGTTATTCTATAATGTCTTGGGTAGTTCATATACCGTAGGGGCATTTCTACTCTAACATTCTAATCTAAAGCATCTGTTCATACTTCCACAGCAGCTCATTAACAGATGAATGGCTACAGTGTGTTTGCCTCAGCATGAAAATGTGTTATATACGCTGTTAAATTAAAGAGCTGCGGATCTTGTTCATACGTATTTTTCATTCCTACAAGCTTACATTTGAAATCTCTGGACAACACTGCATATGCTACAAGGAGTATCCTTTTTTTTCAGACTCCATTAAGAGTATCTTTCAGTAACAACAATCTGCTTAATGGGGCCTCACTAATGTGCCCACCTTGCAGTTCTTCCACCAGTACTTGTTCTTTAGCTTGGCTGCGCAGCTTTCAAACTGGGAGGCTCCAGCTTGGAGAGCGTCCGCTCTGTCATCCAGCTCTGAGAGCTTCTGGTCCCTTTCCAAAACCTTGTCCACGTTCACCCGCATGATATCCACCACCTAGAACACAGGGGTGAGGATGAGAGAGCATTTGGCACAGGAGGGGACACAGAGGATGACAGGCACTGTGAGACAAGTTATTCTGAGGTTATATATCATTAATGAGAGTAAATTAGTAGCGGCATTCCATTAACAAATTACAGCAGAGCATATTAAGTATTCAAAAGTACAATATTAGAGAACATCAACAAAGCATCTTTACATGCTTGCTTGTCTCCTGTCACTGATACATTTCAATATTCAGATTTTATTGATCTAATATCTAACTCTGGCTCAGAAAGTCAGTCTAGCACAGTCCAGCTCACCTCCTCCACTTGGGCCTGTGTCTGCTGTAGCCTGCGGTTGCTGCTGGTGTTGGGTGGGGCGGGAGGTCCGCCGCCGGGGGCTCCATCTGGGCCTGGGGCTCCTGGGGCGCCAGGGGCTCCAGCTGGTGCAGCATCAGGGGCGGACCTGAGATGGGGCACATTGAGGATGAGGAAGAATTAACTTCAGAGTACAGGAGATCATTTTATATTCCTATATGTGATGCTAATGGTAGAAAGCACTTAACTTCAATCAAAGGCTTTTTTTAGGACTCAAATACGTATTAACTGTTCCATAAAACAGAGTGAAGACAGCACAAAGCAAACGCTAAACCTGCTTGTCTATGCTCGGGAGGGTGGAAATGTATGGTGAAGTAAAGTAGGGAGGAAAGAGCTGAAAAATTAGCAGATGGTGGTGGAAAAAAAAAGGGGTCAATGGGCAAGAAAATATAATAGGAACAGAGAAAATCCAGGCCACCGATGGGGAGCTTGAGAGATAAATCTCAGATCTCAGAAGACCACTCGTTTTAAGATAGGAGGGAGGATTTGGGAGGAAGGGGACAAAGAGAGGAGAAGCTCTTTGGGTCAAACAGAAATGACAAAAGTAAGTCAGGGAAGTGGTGTGCAGAAAAATGGGAAAGAGTTAATTCAGGAGGGGGGGAGAGGAATGAGAACATGCAGTTGCAGAGTGAGCAAACACGCTCCTGAGAAGCTTCTCAGGGGAGCAGCTACCGACTCCTGGAGGACAGTTTACAGTGACTGCAGGACAAAACAATGTCTGAAGCATCATGCATTTACCATTAAGGTTGCTCAGTACTCTGCAGTAGATGATGGTGACGTCAAACTCTGGCTAATTAACCACAAACAAATATTTCTTTTAAAATATGGCCATAGGTAAAATAATCTAAAACAACTAAATTTGACTGTGTATGTGGCTTTAGTTTAAGTCTATGCAAGGCTGTGGAGAGGCAGCAGTCAACCTCTGAATACATTATTCAGTGATGCTGTGACGGAAAATTTCACTTGCGTCAGCAAAAAAACAATCAAGCTGAAAAAATCAGTTCAGTTTCGGACCACTAGCCTTCCACCGGAGGGGGAAAAAACATTCAAGGAAATAAGCTGGTCAGAATTTACAATTACAAGGAACAGTCTGAAAGAGAGTTCGCATTTGTTAACGGGAAAAATCACCGCATTAATACTCACATCTTCTATGCAGCTGTTTGAAGTGACTCACGGCAGGAGCGGAGGAGGAGGAGGAGGAGGAGGGGTGACGGGCTGAGAGACAGGAGAGGGAGGTTCCGAAGTACAATAAAGAGAAGAGAAAAAAACTGCAAGATTGTGGAGAAAAGAGAGAGACTGGAATTTTCAGGCAATGGTCCTAATAAAAGTCCAAATTTTCAGAGAACAAAGTGATCAAAGTGCCGTGCAGACAGCAACAGAAGATGACGGGGGGGGGGGTCGTGGCGCAGTGGAGCCAATCTTCTAGCGATGCATTTATAGGCGACTGCTAGTCGTCAGCAAAGTACCGCAATACCGATGCACGTAAACGAGTCGGTAATAATTCACCAGGAAGTGAAGCAGAGCTGCGCGAGCTCAAGAGAAAAGTACTTCTGAATGATAATCCACTCAAGAGGAAATCCACGGATGTTTTGACTCCTGCAGGACTGCTCCTCCAAGAGATGCTGAGTCCTTACCAGAGATGCAGCGCTGATTGGCTGGTCTGTTTTAGTTGCTTCTACCAAAAGCTTCTGGCTAACGCAATTTCAAAATAAAGGTGAGGTCAAGAAAAAAGAAAAAGTCCAGTCATGTGAAATCAGCTGTCTCTGATTTCTGTCACCCCCTCCTCTCTTTCTCTCCGGTGTGCGTCTTGTGCAAAGTGCTGTGGCTCTGTAGGCTACTGCAATAATGCGTCTCTCCTCCTTCCCTCCTCCACTTGGACTCGTAACGACAGTGCGGTTCCCCCCCCCCCCCCCCTCTCCTCCCCTCCCCCCACCTCTCTCTCCTCTCCTCTCACACTTTGCAGTACTGCAGCTCTGTGTCGGATAGGGCGGCATGAAGACACTGCGGTACAGTGGATGCTCTACAGTGTTGACTCGACTGTTTCCTCACAGGCTACCTGGGATTCTCCCAATACACTTCTCCTCCGACTGCTTCTTCTGTTTAAAATTTTCCCCCTTCAATCATCCTTGTTTTATTCCTATAGTCATGTGTTTGAGACTAATACATCTTCTGTTTGCCCATTATCATTCTTTAGTCTGATGTATGTCAGAGGGTGAAGTCAGTTTTTAAAAATAGGTAAAAGTCTCAGGACAAAGGAGCCACTGGAGGAAAGGAAACATAGTCAATTGTGATCCTGTTCAGAGAAATAAATACATTACTAGACATTTTATGCCCCCCCCCCACACACACACACACACCTACTTATTTTAATGCTACACACACACACACCTACTTATTTTAATGCTACACACACGCACACAGATATTTGTGACCAAATACTGGGATCACTTAAACCATGACTTTTATTTCATGATCTGTTTTTGGAAAAAAAAGGAAAAAGAACCTTCTATAGCTGCAGTCTTTCACAGTAAAAAGCAAAAATTTATGAATTATAAAAAAACATTCTCCCTCCTTTGTGTTTTTATCATCTCATGACTACTCAGATTTATCGTAGGGCATACTTGGAGGCTGAGATCAGCTTTTCCCCATACAATAATAAAAAAAAAAGTTCCTGCAAGACAGAAATCCTGTGCACAAAGTCAGTAAATTATATAAATGGATTTCCAGACTGTGTATTAAAGAACCTGACCTCAACATCAACCAAGGTGTGTTGATCCCCAGCAGGTGCTGGGCTCCTGGCTCATGTGGGGATATGCTCCTGTATCCCTGAAGCAAAGGTATGAAATAAAAGAGGAGGTCTTTCTGTGTAAGATAACATAGACTTTCCATTCACATGCGCTTTGTATACAATATGCATGTCCTAATTGGTGAAAAAAATACTTGTACAAATATAAATGAACGCTTTCAAAATGGATTTATAAGCAACTTTAACAGTTCTGTTGTTGTGTACCACGATTATGAAAAATCAATAATCTTCTGTTTTAATGGTTCCTTCAGTCGGAGCTCCATTGCTGACCTTCAAACTCTGGGAGATGGAGTTTCTTCTCTCTGAGATATTTAAACAAAACAATCAAAGCATTTATCAGAGCTATGGGAGTTTATGTTGGAAGGAATAAAGTAACACTTCTTTTTAGGTGCATCTCTTCAATGTTTTTTTAGGTTTTTATATGATGTTGGTGTTTGTCCGGAACAATGATATAAACAATCAATGAACAGGAGTAGAATAGAATGAATTTATATTTGAATGACATAACTGAGACAAATTGGAAATAAACAATACTTTAATTACATGAAATCACTCAACAAGTCTCCAGCAGTCCTTTTAGGCTGGTCAAATGTGTTTTCCAGTACTCTGTGTTCCACTTTAGCGGTGTTTGCCGTAGCGGTTGAAGCGTCTGTAGAGGAATTTGATCCTTTTCTCCAAGTTGTGTCGGTCCAAGGTCATCATTCTGTCTCCCACCATCTTCTTCTTCCTAATCAGACGCTGCAGTTCATTGCCTTTGAAAGCCTTCAGCCAGCAGGGAGCAAGGACGAGATCTTTGGGATGAGCCTTAAAGTCGCCTGCAGAGAGAAAGTGATGACGTCAGGTTCTGTCCACTCTCATGGCATGTTTTGGTATTGTACCAACTCCACTATCCCAAAGTCGTCTTACACACTGTGACATCAACTAAAACCAAAAATGTTCATGAAACATGTTCAAACAAACACGCTTCAAAATAGTGCTAATAGGCTTTTTACTGGTTGGAGACACTTACCTAAGATGCCTATGTTATCATAAACTCCAAACATGCTTCGCTTTTCAGTCCATCTGTCCACCTTCTTCAGTTCAGGGATGGCATGCATCCTGATCTGGCAGCATGTACCTGAAGAGAGTCCAAAGTTTGATGTCATCGTCTACACATCACATTGTACAAGTACTACACTTATTAAAAACTCAACAAAAGATGGCCATCATTTTCTTGTAAGTTCCACCTTGTCAAATGTGATGTTGATCCCGCTTTTACTGATTTGTATCAATGTTAACAGGAGCCAAAGCATAGATAGGATGTTTTAAACAATTAGTCTTGTTTAAAATGAAAATAAACACAAGCACCTTTCCAGGCCTTACTAATTGATTAATGCGCATCTACTGATCTTATGTTACCATTTATATTTATTGTACAGCTTTCTTTACTCTCAGTTTTCTTATTTAGGTGTGCTCTTATTGGATTTTTAAGTGGCCTGTTCCTGCTGTTCATGTCGAAACAATAAAATGCTGCTCCTGCAAAACAGACAAAGGCAAACGGGTTTGAGCAGCGCATTGAAACCAGGACTTACTAGTAGAAATGGTCCTGGATGTGCGGAGCAGTGACCCTGCAGACTGACAGATGGACCCTGCAGCTTTCAGAAGTCCTCCAAGTCCAAACATCTTCCAAATGTTCTACAGTAGAAAAACACAGTTTTCAGTATTCAGTTTACTAAAGTGAAAAAGTGGAAAGTGATTATTTTACACGAAATAAATGTGTGCGCTGGTCGGGTACTCTTTACAATCAAACACGACTTCAGCTTTTCGTGTATCTTTGCATTGACCCCTAGCTTTAGCTTTTGCTAACACATTGGCTACTTTAAACGCAGTTTATGAACATTACCTGTTTCAGGGTCCAGCAGCAATCGTGTGCTAAGATGATCTCCTTTTATGACACCAACAAAACATAAAGTCTGGTCTTACGCGTTGATTTACTGAGTATTTTTTTTTATTATTATTATGATTGGGGCTTCGTCAACATGCTCCTAGTGGCCGCTTCCATCTTACTCTGTGTCCCACAATGCATAGCGGCGCTGTACCGTATCGTCGGTAGAGTGGCGCACAAACAATCGCTTGAAGGTCTTTGCACCTTTTCACAACCCTCTCTAACCGGTAGGGGGAGTTACCGACACCGGAGGGCAAAATCCATCGAATAAACGAGATTGTTACTGAAAAGGTTATAAGGTTATATATATATATTTGAATCCCAAGCGATTCTTTACAATTAATTCTTGGATGCATTTTATACAATACCCTTTTGGTGAGATCTCTTAAAGACCAAAGAGATATTATCAAATTTATTGGATCAGCATTCAAACTTCAAGTTTGATTCATCTCTCTCTCTCTCTTTCTCTCTCTTTCTCTCTCTCTCTCTTCCTCTTTCTCTCTCTCACGATCTCTCTCTTTCTCTCTCTCTCTTCCTCGTTCTCTCTCTCTCTCTCTCTCTCTCTCTCTCTCTCTCTCTTTCTCTCTCTCTTCCTCGTTCTCTCTCTCTCTCTCTTTCTCTCTCTCTCTCTTCCTCTTTCTCTCACTACCTCTCTCTCTCTCGCTCTTTCTCATCTCTCTCTTTCTCTTCTGTTTCTCTCTCTTTCTCTCTTTCTCTCTCTTTCTCTCTCTTTCTCTTTCTCTCTCTCTCTCTCTCTCTTTCTCACTCGTCCTCTCTCTCTTTCTCTCTCTTTCTCTCTCTCTCTCTCTCTCCACACACACAAACTGATACTTTCAGTCTTACTGATGTAAAGAACTGGGTGGAATATTGTGTTGGGGAATAAACAAGTGTGACCCAAACTGATCATTGCATATTTTCATTTTTGCTAAAAAAAACAAACAAAAAAAAACATCAGTGAAAAAATTGGAAATTGAGACGAGACAAACCATTTTTAAACACGAGATTCCATTTAACTCTAACCAAACAATGCAGTGACCTGTGCAGAGAAGAGTTACTGTTTATGTCTGTGTAGGTCCTCAAGTCATCCAGGTTAAGTTAAAAATTCAAAGCTTGATCCAAAGGCCACTGGTCTGGAGTGGCTGAAGATCTTGGTCCAGTTGCCTTTGGATTAAGCTGCAAAGTTACTGGTTTACTGTGCACAGTGTGTTTGTATCTTAAATGTAATGTTAGAGATTATGCTGCAAGAAAGAAAAGTGCACAGTACAAATAATAAATAATAGAGAGGAATGGATCCTCTACATTTACTGAAAGAGAATTGATGCGTTAGGTTAGGCTATATTCCCTTGTCATAATTTCCAACATAAACATTTACAATGCATAACGCTTTCTCATCAATACAAACTCACATTTCCATGCAGCTCTTAACATCACTGTGCTGATAGAAATGCTGAATTGACAAAATTTAGAAAATTCTCAGCAGAGCAGCATTGTTTTTTCTAACCTGTGCTCTGCTTCCTCTGCCAGTAAAACTCAGTGGAACACTATATTTCATCACCTACACATATAGACCAGAATGCTCTGATAACATCACACCAGTTATTAAAATGAAACAGCAGCTTGCTTTATGGTCAGTCACAAAGTCTGATACTAATGTGGTGCTGCCTTTTTACACGTTAACATGCTACTGACAAGATACAATGAGAGCTTGACAAAAGGAAAAAACGACTCATTATGCTCTGCTTCTAAAGAAAAGGTCTGATTTGACTATTTTCCAAGATCATCTTCATTAACATGATCTTTTGGATTCCCTCAAGCTTAAAGCTCAGTAGTTTCCATGTGAGGGGCACTTTCCTTCGCATACTTTCACCTCATATTCAGATACAGTGGAGGTGACTAAACATCAGCTTGAGGAAAGACCACCTCACACACAATGACACACTTGTGCCCCCAAAGCTGTGCTTTAAAAGTTTGACAGGGATTTACATTCGCTGGCTGACAGAGTTTGGTGTGAGGAGGAAGTTCTGCGGAACATGAAAATACTAAATGTATCCATCCCCCAGCAGTCACATGGCTGCTACCATGCAGAGAAAATGTCTCTAAAAGATGAAGAAACAGTTCTTTGGTTTCACCCACGCATATCCAGGGAGAGGCCCATCTGTATATCTATGTGACTATCAATCTGTATCTATCTGTGATTTACACTCTTAGCAGGTTTTACAAGATTTCACTTTGTTTAAAATTGCAAAAAAAAGTTGGAAAAGCTTTTTTATTTGCCTTCTACTTATACATTCTTTTCCCTTTCACAAGTGTCTTGAATTTTATTTTGAATTGCCTCTCTCCATCCGTCTGATGGAGGTAATTTCAGTCTGAGGTACAAATGGGCTGTTGTTCAAAGTCCACCCCACATTGGCTCCATGAGGCCAAGGAGTCACGTTACAGATGACAGAAACATTCTCCCCCCCATATGGAAACGGATGGAGAAATGGTCACTGTAAAGGAATCAGGTGCAGATGAGTTCATTGACAGCTAATTACAGAAACAGTCTCAAAACAGTTTGATTTATTAGTTCATTTGAAAGGGGCCATGCATAACACAACACTTGGGGCCAGTTTTAGCTGTAGCCAATTGACCTCTTTGGTCCCTGGGCAGGACGATTTAAAAAAACACTTAAAAAAAGTAAAAATAAAAAAGTCCTCACAGTTTGGTATTTATTCATATTCGTAAAAAATACATGATACATTAACTTTGGTTCTATACAAAGGTTTCAGTGATCACGATTGGTTGACATGACAAATCTTGTTATAAAAATACAGAAGCTTTTGAAGTCTCTGATATGGGTTGGTTTCTCTACATGTTATAACATATTTTATTGAAATTGAATCTATTATTGCATTTACAATAAACTACATTACTTTTGCTCGACATCTGATGGTATAGGCCTTTACTAGAATATTGACAGGCAGCGTATGCCTGTTTCTAATGCGGTGATAATGGTAACAGTTGATGTAAAGGAAAAGAAGTGAGAGAATGGAGGGGATGATTCACTTTCACAAATATCTATCAGAACCAGAAACCATACTAAAGTGCCTCATTCTCGTCATACTGCTTAGGATGATTATTATGGTGAGAGCTGTGCGTTCTCAGAGGCTTGCAAACGTAAGTGACTGGCAGTGACGAAGAGGGAGTGATGGGTTGGTCTTGTGTTCGCACTTTTGCTATCTCAGTTTCTAAGCAAGCAACTAGAGCTTCCTTGAATGCTCATGGAGTTATTGGCAAACACTAATAGTTGTGTACACTCACAACTCACGTCACACTCATTTTTAAGTCAGCAGCTTTCTCATCAATGAGTGGATGTTGCTCACTTCTCATTTTGCAAAGAAGCATCTTTAAAAATATATATTTTATTTTGAACGGTAAATACACAATATCCTACTTTAAATGTTACTCATGCAGTATGTAGTCCTTGCACATTAAAACAGGTTACATACTGTGACAAAAGGTACGTGATACGAAAAAGGGAACGGAGCAAAGCAGAGAGAATCCGTGGGAGGAAGTGGGTCCCCGTGTTTACATCTCTTTCTTCAGTTTCCAAGATGACACTGACAGACCGCATCAAAGCCTGGCTTGTAGGCGAAATCACATGATCAGAGAAGAAACCACCATACATGCTCCTCCATTATCAGCACCCACGGCTCATATAAAAACCAAATCAACCTGAAAACACAAGAGAGAACACATCGCAGAAAGAGAGATAGAGTAGAGAGCAGATCAGACAGAGGTTCAAGCGAGGAACAAAGTAAAACAACACAAAGATGCGGTTGGAGTTTTTAATCCTTGGGATGATTACCCTTTTTATGAAAGGTACATTTCTATTATAGTACCACTGTTTTTTCTTTTTGATAATAAGGTGTACTTGTGAATTTTTATTTGTGAGGTTTAACATGCTCATTTTCACGTGATTTTTGTCTTCATTTTTCTTCTACAGGGGCTCAGTGTGAGGCAACTGAGGTGTTTGCGGAAGCAGGCTCTAAAGCTTTACTACCCTGCAAATGCAGCTCCTCATCCACCCTTCCCCGTGCCATCATCTGGAGCAAAGCCAACAGTGGGTAAGAAAGATTTTGTTTTGCAGTCTACGCTTCTCAATTCCCATTTCCCTTTTGTCAAGCTCAAAACACCAGAAAATCCACAACTACTAGTTTCACTGTCTACTATCCTTCAAGTTCAAACTAAAATCTTGCATCTATATGCTGATGACACTGTATTGTTTGCGACAGATCTTCCCCCAGCACAATATGGAGAATGGAAAGGAGTGGTATGCAGTACTGGGGCTCTGGCTGGACACAGAAAGGAATCCAACGTGCACGATGCACCAACTCCCAGCTTGAAATAGGCGACTACAGCCTTCAAATCAACAGTGTGAGGGAGGAGGACGGAGGATATTACACCTGCAGAGTCAGTCCAGGAGGCCAAGTCCCCCAAAATCGTGTCTTGCTCAGAGTTATAAAAGGTAAAGGCACAGAAACACAGATTTAAGATGCAGATATTTTGACTGTTTTGACTGTCAACTCCATTGTTAAATCAGTGCAGTAGATCCAATATAATAAGACAGTTAAAAAGCGTGTTGGAACTCAGCAATTAATTTGATAAGACTTTTAATAATAAATCATTCAGTGATTGTAGTATTTAATAGTCAAAACAGGAACTACTGAAAAATTATTCAAAATATCATAACAGAGATATAACCAGCGACAGATTGAGGAATACATTAACAACACTAAGCTGCATTTAGAAACGATATAACTTACTAAACGACGTGTGTCAATAAACTCATCGGCACCTGATTCCTTTACAGTGACCATCTCTCCACCGGTTGCCATATGGGGGGAGGATGTTTCTATCACATGTAACGTGACTCCTTGGCCTAATGCAGCCAATGTGGAATGGACTTTGAACAACAGCCCATTTGTACATCAGGCTGAAATGAACTCCATCAGACAGACACCTAAAAAGGTTCTGAGGGAAGAGGCAAATTCGAGAGTAACTGGAAACTGGACCTGTGCCGTGGACTACAAAGGAAAAGTAGTACGAGCTTCTTCAACTCTGACCGTGAAGGGTATGATTCTTAGCCAAATAAATCTGACGTTTCTTCAGAAATTAACAGCCGATGCTCTAAAACTCTCCTCTTTCTCTCACAGGAATCATCAACCCATCCACAGACAGTACTAAACTGTATTCTGCTGTGGGATCTGAGGCTTACCTCCCCTGTGTGTTGTCCCCTGATTTAAACCTCTCCAGCTCAGCTTGGGAGAAACTGAAACCTAGGTCCCTTTTCAAACCTGTTACAGGTCACCTTCCCACTACTTTCTCTCCATCCTCACCATCGTCCCAGACGCCCTGGGACATATCTGCTAGTTTAAAAGAAGTTAAGTTTGAGGATGAAGGAAAGTATAGATGTTCTGCGACCATTGGAGGACAACAGTTGACTCGAATTATGCAGCTCGTCGTTGCAAAAAGTAAGCTTTCATTGATTCCATTTAGGCCTACTTAGAATAATACAAAATCTATTTTCTTTTAAAGATACATTATATTGTCTTATTCTTCTTTTAGTTGAAAGCAGCGTTGTGTCAAAGAAAAAAGGGTCAGTGACTCTTACCTGCCAGCTGACGGACACCAGCGAAGTCACAGACTATGAATGGGTTCATGTGGTCTATGGTCTTAACGGAACCCAGTCGTTTGGGTCCATCAAGAAAGGCAAGACTCTTATTTTAAACGAGGTGTCTGAGGAAAACTGGGATGAATGGGTTTGCCGCTTCTACGGGAAACAGGGCATCTTGGGAAATGTAACACATCACTCTCAAATAACGAGTAAGTGCTCTCCTCCAGCTTACCCCTATGATAATGTACTAAGAATGTCATGTGTTATTTCTTTCTGACTGTTTATATGCTATTTTACCCTGAAGGTGGCCTGACTGGAGAAAAATCATCAGCTGCTTCACCTAACATCGCTGCCATAGTCGGTCTCAGCTTGCTCCTGCTGGTTCTGCTGCTGATTTTGGCCCAAATGTACAAAAACCACCAAAGGGTAAAGATCGACAATACTTCAAATTAATGTGAAGATAATGATCATTCAAAAACTCTAACTTTAACCTGTTTTTTTAAATGGAAACTTGAATGTGAATTATTCAGTTTACAAACTTATTATTTCTTAAATTTAAAATTCTGTTTTAAATAGAAGATTTAAAATCTTGAACTAGGGAAATTATTTTTTTGTGTCTAGAAAATTCTTTGCATAAGTTTTGCTGGGAAGAAATGTCCGTATCTCACTGTTTTTTTTCTGTTTAATGGAAAACAACAATAAAAAAATAACAATGCGGAACATTAATTCCCCTGTTGAAACATGCATACATGCATTTTTGTATTCCTTAAACTTTGAAGCAATCTCATTGTTTCTCACTGTTACTACTTTTCTCCCACAGAGGAAAAGGATCTTTCAGTACCCAGCACTGGAGACGATCGTTCATACGGCCTCCAATCAGCAGGAGGAGAGAGAAAGGAGCCGAGGAAAAAAGTAAAAACACATTTATGAACTGAAAAGTAGTTTCTTTTCACGCCTGCAATATGTTAGGAGACTTAAGTTTGCACAGATTTCTAAATTCAGCTACTTTAAGAGCAGACATTGTAGCAGTACCATTGTTGTTTGAAAGCATGTATATTTTTTGCTTGCTGGAGTTGTAATTGTTTCCAAATATAAAACTGAATGTAAATAAAAAAATAAAGATAATTTGCAAGAAATAAAGCTGTTTTAATTTTTTCCATTATGTACAATTAAAGCTCTCAGGTCAACTAGACTCTAGTTAACCTAAGAGCTTACTAGAGGGTGAAATACATACAGATATAAATAATATACAGACATTTCTATAAAAATATTTTTTCACTATATTTACAGAAAACACTGACAACAAATCATAGTAAAATAAAAACAATCATCATTGATCACAATCATTATTATAGGCTACAAGGCCAGGATGAAAGATGGTCGTTCAACATTTTTGTGGGCTTCAGATACTCATGAAATAAAATCACCTGCTGTCCTTGTGCCGCCCGCCTGTACTTCACGTTCATGGACTGAACTTTAGGTTGTTGTTTAGAAGTCTAGTTTATAACCCACTTAGTGGCTTCAGGACTCTGTAGTGCAGTTTGAGTGTTACATCTGGATGACCTCCCCGACATCTTGCTCTGATGGTTCATGAGGATCCCATAATGTCAAAGATCGGCGGATGCCCTCAAGAAGCCCCTCAGCTCTGGGTTGTAAATGATCCATGACCTCATCGTCATCGAAGCACCAACCTGACCAGTCCACATTGACACCATCCGTAAAGATAACACTAAAGAATGAGAGGAAAGCACATTAACAACGGTTTGTCTTTTAACATGTTCTCTGTATGCACCTACAACTTACTACTATAGATGTTAAGATAGTATTCCAAAAAGCTAAATTACAGGCAAGCATGAAAACATTAATAACCAGTGTTTATGCGTCCCTCGTGTTAATATAAACTGTAGGCTTTGAATTCAGAGATATTAAAGACAGGGTAATGTAAGTTTCCATTCTTACAGAGCAGTCTGTCCATTACCAGCCTACTCAGCAATGAAAACTCATCTCAGAAGTAGAGATTTGACAGTTTAAATATACATTTCCAGATTAAGTGGAAACGCATATTTTAAATAACCAGCCTAGTGACGTGTTTCTATGATTTAAAACAAAAGAAGCAAAACATTCGACATGTTAGGGCATTAAAAAAAAGATATGCAGCAAAGCCAACAAGTGGAGACTGTAACCGTGTGGTGGATAATCAGCTATGACACAGACTTTATGTGATATCATAGAATACGTTCTGTGATAGTAGAAGAGGAGCTCCTCTGAAGGTCCTGTGTGTCAACCTGAGCTTTTGTTAAAATGCTGTTAAAAGTGACAATTAGCAACTTAAGCTTCAGGTCTGCAACTCTGAACTCTGTGCTTTATTAAAAGGATAACATGAAGCTTCTATTCATCTTTATAAGTATTTGCCTTTTTAATATTTAGTAAATCAAAAATGTCTTCATGTGTTTGCAATAATTAGAGAAGAAATGGAAAAAGAAGCATTTGATTTGATGTTTTTGCTTTGGATCTTTTTTTTATTTGTTAATTAATAAATCATTATTTTGCTCATTAACATCCCAGTGCCATCCTTTTTGAATTCAAGTCAGGGGTGAGAAAGTTGTGCTGGTTATGCTGTCAATGATGCTAATACTATCGTTGTGTTTCAGTTTATATCTGACCTTTGCTTGTGTAGCTTTGGTCCATTTCTGTTGGAAACATTGTGAGCAGTTACTCTCTTATGTATGTGGGCTGATATTTTTGTGGTTTTTTACAGTATGCATTTGACTGTGTGCACAATGTGCACTTGGGACTTGTATTAGTAGTGATGAATATTTAACAGTGACCTGTTTATATTCTTGTTGACTCAGCACTTTATTTGGTCTGTAATGGAAGCTGCCAACAGTGTCAGTCAAGAATCATGGCTGCTATATTCAGTGCCTCTCTCCCTTTTACCTTTTTTACTCATTAGCTTTCTACATGTATTTTGTCTTTTGTCTTTTCCTTTTTATGCTTTGCTGCAAAACTAATCGCCCTTCAGGGATGATTATTTTTAAACAATAAATGTATTTTTTAACTTGAACCTTTAAGTATCTGGGTGACATTAGAAGCTGGATCATCAATTTAATACATTTTTATGAACTTACTCTTGTTTTTGTTTTTTTTAATTAAATTTGGAATTCTTCATTAATTAATAAAATGATGGGACTCTAGAGTGAAGCTTATCAGGTTTGCAAATAACATGATATTGCTTTTTAATTAGGGGCATGGTGGGATACTGAACTAGTCTAATGTGTGTCTTTGTTAGTGGTGAAGTGTATCAGTTTTAGAGTGTGTTGTTAATACAGAATGTCATCTCCTTGGTTTGATATTGAAATCTACAAAAATAAATTAAAAATGTAACTTCTCAAAAACGAGAGCAATTGCAAACTTTGCTATACTCACCTGTATCTCTTATCATCGTCATCCCCGTCCACCAGTTGCTCTTTCCATCCCTGACTCACTGTGGGGGCTCTGTGTCTCATCAGCTCCACCTCCTCCTCCCACTCTGTGTCCCTATCTCCATCACTGGGTGGTGGTGACGGTGTGGTGGAATATGAAGGAGAAGGAGGATTCCTTGACCTCAAATGAGACACCTTCAAATATCTATTTCTTTTTAATCCATCTCTTTCCCTGGCTCTTTCCAGAAGACCCTCCAGGGGCGAGGCTTGTTCGTTTCGGGGTGAGAGTGGGAGCTGTGCATCTTCTGCAAGGGGAAGTGAGTTTAGACTGGATTGATGACGGAGTCCATGGCTTCCTTCGATGATGATGTTAGGGATGGAGGCACTCCGTTTGGTTTTCATTATGGGCCTTTTTTCATAGGAGTTTACTTCAGGCAGCTCAGGTTCAGAAAATGTTTGTGGGTCTGGAGAGTCTCTATCATGCATGTTCAAAAACATCCCCTGGTTAGGCTTTAGGGAGCCCAGTTTAAGCACCCGCAGTGTATCTGAGCTATTGCCAGAAGAAAGGGAGTTTCTCTTCATATTTCGGTTGTACTCAGAGTCAGAGTAGTTGTTAGATGAGTCCTGGAAAAAGTGCCTAGACATCTGAGTAGAGGAGCCCTGATGTATGCTGACCGGCCTCCTCCTCCGTAAACCAGGTGACTTCAAATTTTTGGAGAAACCCCAGACACCTGGAGGTGTTTCCAAATCTCCAGTATGACTTAAAGTGGAATTCCTCTTTGTTTCCTGCCTGACAGACTGGGAATCTGAGAATCTCCTTGTAGCTATTCCTTCTTCTCCTGGTTGTCTGAAAGACTCAGTCCCCTCCCAGGTAACTGCCGGTTTGTAAGGCGGTTGTGGAGAAGTTTCTTCATTCATTGGGTAGTCAATATCTGGATATTCACCTAGTAAGCGAACATGCGGTCCTGTTGTGTTGTATCTTGATGGGTTAGCTGAAGTACTGTGATGCAAATGATCCAGATTTGGAGCAGCTTGCACCTTTTGGTTCCCTCTTCTCTCCTTTGTAATCCCAGATTCAATAATTTTCTCCTCCTCCTCTGGATTCATTCCAAACTGTTCTCCTCTTACTCCCAATTCAATCCATTCATATCCTTTGACTGGTTGTTGCTGACCAGCAAAGCCCTTAAGAGAAAATCTATTGTTATTTTTATAGGGCTGGGATTGCACAGTAGGCACACCAGTACTGTTTGTGGCCACATTATCAGGAGATTCATACTGTTCCTCTGCTTCTTTGGACGCCAACATCCCATTTTCTGATGTGGGCATAATAAGTTCCTCAGTAAGTTCATCCACAAAAGTCCCTCCTTTTGGTTGTGTAAGAGGTTGTTTGTCGGTCTCCAAATAATCCATTTTAGCATCTGAAACAGGTTTGGTCTCCAGCTGCTGGAGTGTCCATTTTTCCAGTTGTCTGATGTACTCTGTTTCTTTCAGTCTCCTCAGTGTTCCCTGACAATATAACAACAAAAATGAATAAGTAAGGCGTTTAACAATGATTGAGATAATAGTTATTTCAAAGTCTGTTTCATGTCATAAAGCTAAGAGTCCTCAGTCAAGCTAGCAGATCTACAATGCTCAACTTATACATTCCTGTGCAGCGTTAGCTAGGTAGTTAGGAATAATGCTAACTACAGTCACCATCTTAGTTTAACATGTTAGCATTCTTAAGTTTGCTAATTAGCATTGAACACAAAGTGATGGACTGATGAAATTCAAATTCAAATACTGGCTTAAGGGTGGAACTAGAGTGAATGAGGTCGTATGAACTAGAGTGTGATAGGGGTGGAACTTTTCTGTCATTTCACGCAACAGAGGTGAAGAAAGTTCACAAAATTTTGGAAACGCACTATATGGCCTGTTTGTGTCTTTTGGGGAAAAGTCAGTATGGTTTATTCACTGGGGTCCATTAATGTCTGTACACATTATAAAGTTGCTCTGACACCAGAATCAGCCTCCGACGCTTCCTATGATGATAACGGAAGCGATCCAGTACTGTGCTCCCATATTTGTGTTAAAGCGGGCAAAAAGTGCCTAATTAGTGTTTTACGGCAAATAACAGTTTATTTTATCTTACTAGTAGCCTATAGGGATCTCAGTATCATTCAATTCTCTTGTTGTATTGGAACATCACTACACAATTTCAGGGCCATCCGTCCATTAGTGTTCAAGTATAATTTAGACTGGACAAAAGTGCTTAAGACGCAATCCATCAACAGATGGACACATGGCTATCCCTGGAGCCAAGCTTCTTATATTAGACCATTACCATTATTTTACAGGACTTTGTCAGAAATGCACATTTTTACCTTTGCCTGCTGAACGGTGGTGACCCATTTGGAACAGCTCTCTGGGGTGCTGGCTGCAAATATGTAGACATTCATAGCAGTCTGAAGCTCGCCTACCTCCACGAGAACAAAAGAACCTGAGAGAGGTGGAGGAATGATTAGTGGATCTGCAATATGCACAGAACCTAAGCGCCTTCTATTTCTTTTGTGTAAAAGTGTTACTCACAGCCATCTTTTAATGGTAAGCAATATGTTCTGTCAAGGGCCAGAGGGGGTCGTACTACCTTCAACCGCTCTCCTTTCTTCTGGACTTTGGTCATTAGTAGAACATCTGAGAAAAGCAGAGCCACTACCTCCAGCTGCTAAATACCACACGCAAGGAAACACAAGACGTTTAGAATAAGTAATGACAACAAGGTTCTGAAGAAACAGATGTAAATGTACAGCTACTGAGTGCACTGCCTCACCTTGCTGTCTTTTCTCCCCCGAATCTTTAGGTTCTCCTCCAGGAGCAGTTTACGAACCACTTCCGTACCCACTCCTCTGATGGGGCAGGTCAGGTCAAACTGGGAGATCTCACGGACTAGCTGTCAAGAAAAGTCATCTTGAGTAACCATCAGTAGCAGAACATAATATATATTATTAATATTATAGCCTGACATCCCAAATGTATTATCTTGATTAAACATCCTGCCTTGTACCTTATCTTTTTTTCTTTTTAAGATTTTCTTTTTGGGCATTTTGTGCAGAGAGATAGGACAGTGGATAGAGTCGGATATCAGGGAGGAAGAGAGTAGGGAATGACATGCAGGAAAGGAGCCCCAGGTCGGATGCGAACCCGGGCCGCCCGCTTGGAGGACTATAGCCTCCGTACATGGGCCGCATGCTCTAACCACTGCGCCACCAGCGCCGCACGTACCATAGATTTTTAAGGAAGAAATTAAAACAATACTGTGTCAACAGAGGTGCTGCTTGTTAACAGGCAAGGCAGGCAACTGCCCGGGGCCCCAGACCATTAGGGGGCCCTAAAGCAGCAGCTGTAAATGTGCAAATGTGCAAAAGTGCTTATTTTGCAATGACAGTATAGGAAACCTCCCTAAGGGATACCCATCTGACCGACCTCCCTCTTGTTGCCCTGCTAAATGCTGGTAGGACAGTTGATTTTTGCCTTTTCAGACTGTATGTCAAGTGAGGCCTCGTAGGCTGTCGGTCCAGCCCAAAACAAATTTACCCGCAAGGACAGTATGTTATGATAAAACATCATATTGTTATGTATCATAGTTGTATTTAATATTAATGTAACTGTGTTGTACTACAGCGACCATAGTGTTATATTCTATTCATCCTATTGTATCAATTGTGTCGTATCATATTCTATCGTTATCTTATTGTATCGACTGTGTCATGTCGGATCCTATTATTATTGTGTTCTATCATAATCATGTTGTAACAAACTTTATTGTTATGTTTTTGTTATATAGAAACTCAAACTAATAGAAAAGAAACACAAAACAATATACAAATCAAAGACTATAGGATAGAATTTATCCTCAGGTATAATTAATGATATCTTAACGTAGTGTATTTGTGATGTAATGTAAGAGAGGTCGTTTAGTCTGTGTTGACGCACCATGCTTTGTCTGGCCGGGTTTTATGTGTAGCTCCGTGTTGTAGCTGGCATGAGTACAAAAAGCATCATCATTCAAAACAAATGTTCATGAGGCCATAAAGTTCAGGTCAGATATGCAAATCCATTTATTAAAAACAACAATACTATCCCATTACTCAAAAACATACAATTACACGCGTTCCCAACGGTCTTGCCAAAAGGGGTTACCAAGGTCTTACCATATTAAAAAAGACTGACCTCCTCTGTGCGCAACACCAGCTGCTAATCAGCATCCTTTGAATACAATTTAGCTCCCTGCAACAAAGTAAAACCCACCAATAATGGATTCAACAGTCTGGGTGTCGAGCTTGTATGTAGAAGACATTAGTGAACTTTTTCAACTCTGGTTTATTAACAAAACAGCTATACAGTAGGTTTGAGTTAGTAAGTGAGAAACAGTCATATTTTACCTTGTCTATTTCTTCATTGATTCCTTCCACCTCGTATCCCTCCACCCTCTGAGCAGAAATGGCGAGAGCAAGCTCCTCATCTTTATGCTTCAGGTAGTTGTTGATACTCTCCAGGAAACTGATAACACAGGATATCTGGAGAGAAGGGAGAGAAAGATGTTGAAATTTCAATTTTACTTCAGCCTTTTCTTTTCTTTTCCCTTTGACTAACAAGACATGAATAATTAATACCCTTAAAAAACTGTATTGCTTTTAATCTGAGATATCCTTTGAAAATAAAATGCTAGATTTTAACATATTAATGTATTCCTCACAATTTAAAAGTTTCTCACCATGCCTCTAAGTTTGTGCTGCACTTGAGGATCATGGGTAGTTTTCAGCACGGCTTTCAGTAGAAGAGGGTACTTTGTGATCCTCTGATGGGGTTTGGCCTGCATGTCCCCGAGACGCATCCGATCACACTGAGGGTGAGTCTCCACCCACTGGACAGGACAGAAACACAGGAGCATTGCCTCAAGTCAATGGTTTTGATTTAAAGAGGGGTTCTTATTATATTGACCTTAAACTGTGAGTAAAAACAGAGTGAATATAAATGATCATGTCACCAGAATTAGAGCCTAATAACATCCTGACGTAACCTACTGTAGGTCCTATCTGGGGATGCAGATAGTTAAGGCTTAATTTTTACCAGTGTTTTTGTTTTGTTTGATTTGAAAGTGTAGACCCTCTAAACACCCACTGAGTACCCTTTCCTCATCAAAGGGGCCTTGGTTTGTTTTGTTAAACACATTACTGCATATCGCCTCCCACTCAAGGTGACAAGTTTGGTGTTATGACACAAGTGAAAAAGCAAGTGTTAAAAAACACATTTACAGTAAAGGCTCCTGGTCTGTAAACAAGACATTGCTGTCAATTGGAGGGATCCATGTTTAAATCATAACGCAATAAAAAAAATCTCTTCTAGTATGCCAGACTTTTTATCTTATGCTCACTGTTCCTATAGATGTCCTGTTTTCAGATTTTTAACATTAAAAAAACTCATTTGAATTGCTGCCAAGGCTCGATGATCTGGAGAAGACTTTGGTGTGACAAGTCACTATGACAGGTCGCCCCTAAAGTTATGAAAACTTCACTAACCACACAGACTACCATTAACAACAGGATATGTAGTCTTTACACTGAATTATATTCCGCTGCCCTCAGAGGTAATGATGGTCTGTGTGTAAAGGTTTGTTTATTTCCACTGTGAGTTGTCTTCCTCACGTCTGACACTTCCTGTTTATTCATAGTGCGTGTTGTAAAGAGAACAGGAGTCTGCTGCTGTCATAGAGTACCTGGACATAAGTGAGAAAGTGAGGGCTGCTCTCCATCAGCCTGCGTGTGAACTCTAGATTGTTTTCCTCCTCCCAGCAGTAATGTCGATAGCAGGAGAAGCGCTCATGGAACTGTGGACAAAAACAAAATGCAGATTAATGATGACAATGTGTTAAAACCTCCATGCATTTACTGCACATAGCTCAAACTACTGTATGTGCAGAAAGCTGTAAAGAGCCTTTAATTAAAGGAGATGTAGAGACTCTGATAGATCGACTCAAGAGATGTCAGAGTCTAGAGGGGATGGCTGAAGACAACAACTTGAAAATTTAATAAAAAGGTGCAGTATCTGTCTTTGATGTCGGTTTTGGTTGTATATCTACAAAGCATTGGATTAAAACAGAACTGGAAGAAAACTGTATCTAATTAAGAGCATTTAACCGTTATCAGCCAAATACACTGACAACACCGTGTGCAAAGTGAAGGTGCTCCTGATGCAGAACGGCTATGATTACATATTATATAATGGATTTATTGTTCTGATACTTCAACTTGTATTCATAACTTTTAGCCTCAATCTAGTTAAATTTAGCTTTTTGTATCATGATTAATGTGCTTTATGGTACTTGTAGTGTTTTTCTTTGTAACAATAGATTATAATTGACATCCTTAAACAGGTTCTTGGGAACTTAAACTGAAAATAACTTGTAGTATCTCCATATAAGGTAGAAGAAGCACAGTACTATACACTTGAATATAAAGTAAAATTAAAAGAACAACCTCTGCAGAGTACTGCATGTGAGAAAATAGACTTGAGTAAATTAAAAACTAATTTGTTTCCCCTTTCAAACAGGCAAAAACACCTTTGAACATGTTGGTAATGTGTGCTGCAGGCGGTGAGTTCATACCTGCAGGCAGCCAGCCTCTAACCCCATGGGGTCAAAGGGCTTGCCTGTCTTCCGGACTTCCTGTAACATGGGATAGATGACCTCCTGCCAGAAGAGCTGATGTGCAATGATGACAGAGGGGATGTTTGAGAAAAGCAGCTCAGGGGTCACCTGCCACAGGGGGAAGTCAAAACAAAAATAATAGTGTGAAAAGTTAAACTCCCCTGCTTTCTGGTATTTTGTCTTCTCAATGGAAATGTATTGTTGTGCTCCATTTTCCACTCGTGTGTTGTTTTCTGAGCGAGAGCGGATGTTCTCTATTTGTCAGTCAATGCGTGTCAGTGGTATGCAGAGCAGTGGAAAATAGGCCTCATTAATGTAGAAGTGTGCAGAAGTGTTTCCAGTCTAAATGAGGCTGCATGCTCAGCAGACTGACCTCTAAGAGAAATCCATGCTGGTGCAGGTTGACAAGAGCTGCAATGACCAACTGTGGGGAGCAGACACAGATTTGTCAGAACAGTCTGTGGAAAATACCTTCTCAGCTCTGACATAAAGAAGTCTGTATTCAAATGAGGTAGCAGGTAAGAATGGAATATTACGTCTCTGATGATAATTAGCTTGTTGATGTAGGTGAGCTCGGTGTGAACAAACTCCCACAGCGCCTCCTGCTGGTGTCTCTGCATCTTAGACATTGTCTGAAAATAAAAACAAGGCAGAGGAGGAAACAGGACATATGATTAAAATGATGTGAAAAATACATATTTTTTAGCAGGAATTTTACAGAAAAAACACACAAGGAGTATTAAATGGATTTGGCTTCCACAGTTTGTAGATCATTCCTACAATAGACACACTTTTAAACAAAGCTGTAGGCCTGCTTAAAAATACATATTTAGATCTAATTTAAAGAATATATTTTTGTGAACATCTTCTGATCTCCATGAATGCTGAATCTAGAAATTGGTTTGGTAAGAGTTAGCCTGGTTAGCTCGCTAAGAAGACTTGGCTCTCTCCTCCAAACATGTTGTAGGCTATAAAGAATATTTTTGGATCTTTCATTGACTTTATGACTGTTAAAAATGTTGAGTTATCCTATAAGGGTCCCGTACCGAATGAGAGTGCACTATATCTGTCCAGCTCTTCTCCAGTGTTGTTCCCTGATTCTCCTCCTCCCACCTCCACTTCAGACAGACTGGCACAGCGTAGGTCCCCAGATCCTGCTTCAGCACATCCAGCTGACCTCGCTCCTGGGGGGGTTGTTAGGACAGGTAGTACCAAATTAAGAAGTTGAGATGATAAGAACGTAAAAAAACACACAGGTAAGGGAATAATAATTTATTTCTGATGTTGTACTGAGCCATGTGTTACTTTTAAAAGTGCACCAGTGGAGCAGATTAAGTCATACTACAACTTCAGGTTTTTCAGTTGTTGGATTGTGGGTTAATGATTAGAGCAAGTCTTGACTGTTTCTCAACATGTCAGCGTGTAGCTTAATGAGTTTGAGACAAACATAATACCTCAGACGCCGGGTTCTTCTCAGACACACCCTGGTTGAACAGGACCTGTCTGAGTGCAGCTCTGGGTTTGGCTCCTGCAGATGTTCCTTTACTCACTGTGGCAAAGTCAGTCACCACCTTCTGCTTGGTTCTCCTCTGGAAAGACACGCGAAATAGAAAACCTCAGTTTATGCATTTCATGAAAAAGCACCAGAGAATTAATTACAGTTATTGTGAATTACAATTTTTTTTTTTTACATAAAAAACATTCAAGGATTACACCAATCTGAACTGTGTTTATGCTTATTATCGAGTTTTGCAGAAAGCAAAAGGCCAGGGCCAATGACGGTGTAACAGAATTTTGACATTTCCTTAAGTGTCCTACAAAAACATTTGATGTATAATGTAAAACAATACTCCATTCAAAGGTTAAGTCATTATTAGAAAATATGTACAAAGTACAAAAGTGTAATGAGCAAAACAAATTAAAAAAATTAAAATAAAAGGCCCCTGTTGTGCCAAATAGTCCTCTTTTTGGTGTGATATAGAGCATATTTCATCACTTGTGCATTGTAAGCATTTTGGGCCACTTCTTAATAAACTATTGTGATGATTTATCTGCAAACAAATAAACACCAGCTTCCTGATTAAGAGCACATATACCAAAAAATGTTGCCAACAAATATATGTTTGCAAGTTAGACCGTGTGCAGGAGTAAGTCAGACTCATCACCTCATCTTATGACATAGATCTGCAATCAGACAATTCTGCCATTTTATGAGGACAATGAATGTCAATAACAAGGTTCGACAACTTTGTTTTGAGGTGCAGTTGAAAATATGTCAAACTGATATCACTTAAAAAATAGCTTATTTTCAGTATGTTTCATAAATGAGTGTTGGATTATTGAAAAGGAAGATAAATGCATTGTTGCTGCCCTTGATTTGTAAGATAACCTAAACAAATCAAATGTGTTGTAACAATACAGGAATATACCTTGATAGATTTTTTTAAACTGGGAAATTAATCTAAGAGATCAAATCAAAAAGGGGAGTTTTTTATTTATTTCTGGTCTTGCATCAGTTTAAGATGGTTATAATTTAAAGTAACCTGCTAAACAACTTATTAAAAAACAAAAACAAAAACATATTAGATAAAAGAAGTGCAGTAAAAGTGCATCACACCATCAGTGATGTGTGTACATTTCTGTCCTGTTTCACTTGCCTGATAGCCTATGGTGTTGAACTTGTTTTTGTCTGATGACCCCCGGTGGTGTTGGTTTGTCTCTGCAGCTGCTGTCATCACGTCCACAACATCTGTCACTCTGCTTTCTGTGTCCCTGTGTCTCTCCCCGTTCACAGTGTCTCGCCATGGCAGCGCTGCTTCTTCCATCACTGATTAATTTCCCCACCAGCCGTCATTCACATGTGGTGCTTTTGAGGAAAGGCTGAGGACAGGCACGTCAGGTTACTCATTGCCAACAAAAAGGTGTGTTAGTAAATAGACAGAATAGCTTGTTTGAAGAAAAGGCTTCAGAAGAGAGCAGTAAGTGGAGGACAGAATGGAGGGACATTGTGTTCTTTGTGTTCAATTTAAAGTGTTTCTTTTAAAGACTAAATCTTTATAGACAAACAAACAAAGAGAGAAACAAAAGCTGGATTATTAGCTGAACTATAAATGCACAAAAGGATTCATTCATTGTTAAAATTCGCTTTTTGGCTTCCAGTCATCAAAATAAAACATGTCTCCTGACCGCCTGTTTTCTGTGTTTACTGGTTATTAAAACTCATTAAGGATACATTCCCTTGTTGTATTTATAGCTGGATGATTTGTTTTGATAAAGACAAGTTTAACGTGACATGACACATGCCACAGCATTTATGCTTAAGCTATCTGCATACCATTGTAAGCTTAAAAAGGTATGAGACTCAAGGGGATGATATATTAAAAACAAATAAACTATAAAAAAAAATGCTGAAGACATTTCAACTCTAATGAAAGCATCAAATCTTTAATGACTATCTAAGGGATCCTTCCTCAAAAAAAGTTGAGTTTTTAAAGATTAAGTTTAGACATCTGTGGGTTGTGATTTCCACATATTGATCCTCTGAATAGAAACAATGTCCAAATAAAGATTCTCTTGAGTGCGCCTTAAAAGTTTTTCAACTGCATTTCTGGACCAGGAACCCTGAGAGGGTCCACACAGAGAGCCTGTAGGCTGTTTGGCATTTCATGAAACCATGAAAAACATTTTAATTTCCTCAGAATATAATATTCATAAGGTCTTGTCCAAGTTTTAAATGTATGATGACATATCAAAACAAGAGCTGTGAAGAGCTCCAATAATCCAGTCGCTCATTCATAATAAACAAAGATTGTATGAAAGTTAATAAAACCAACAAACCTGAATTCACGGCTGGGAAACTCGAGTCTAATGTGCAAACGACTTTTCAAAACGGAGCATTTCAAGCTGAAGGGATAGTGACAAAATAAAAACAAAAATAGAACAAGACAAAAAAAATAAACTAAATTCCTGTAGTAAAATAGTCCAACTACTCTGAGCTTCACTTTCCGAGGACTTCACGTCTACACTGCACTGCACTACACGTCAAAGAGCAAGTCAGAGAAGCAGAGCTCATGACCGTGACAGCAGCACTGATTTAAGATGACACCAGAAGATTCACACGGCTTCAGCTCCTGTTACTCTCTTGAGCGGGTAACAATGTTACTCCAGGACTCACATATCCAACAACTGTTGAACTTGAGGAACGTCCTGCTGCAGATTTAAGTTACAGTGAAGAATGTATCTCGACACTCTTAAAGTGACTGTTTCTCACAGAAAGGACTCAGAGATTGTTACAGCCATCGTAAAAGTGACACTTTCATACACTGCTGTGTCACTGCAGTAAGGAAATACTGCATACTGTAAATGCAGTGTGGGATTACTGCTTTAACCTAAGCCTAGTGGTTAGTGTGCGCGCCCCTATGTAGGGAGGCTATAGTCCTTCAAGCGGACGGCCCGGGTTCGAATCCCACTGTGGCTTCTTTCCCTGCATGTCATTCCTCGCTCTCTCTCTCCCCTATTTCTGACACTATCCACTGTCTTGTCTCTAAAATAAAGGTATGAAAAGCCCAACAAAAAGAAACCTTAACAACATATTTAAACAGTATTAAGAAGTCATTCTAAAAGCAAACACTCTACAGACAGGTACACTTAGCTAATCTTCACATGCTTTCCTGTCAAACTTCAAAGGATCAACACAAGGGCTTTCATCACGGTGTCATACCTGTTTACAATCCCTGTCTGTATCCTGTAATAATACAGCAAGGATGTCTGACATTAATGTTATACTACAAGTGGAATCCTTTTCAAAGACTGATACTATGTCCATAAGAACAGGTTTTCTGTTGGATTTGAATCCTCAGTTAATCAACACAAATGCCTGAGGACAGCTCGTTGACTTAAAACTGAAAAGTGATTTGCAGTAGAGACAAAAGCATTGTACACCCTCAACTTCTCCCACTATTTACTCTGCGTTTAAATAGATCAAATGATAGACTTTACCTGGGCTTGGTTGGATCCATTTTGTTTCACCCAGTCATCTTTTGCTTTCTGTGAGCTTTCTCCTCCTCTTTCTTGCTGCCGGGATCCGTCCCGCCCCTTCTCTCCCTTTCACCTGCACCCCTGCCCTATGCAACTGGCCCGACGGGAACGACGAGATTCTGCAGCCAACAAATCAGTGTTCAGGCCTGGCTAATGTGTCGCAGTTAGAAGTGTTTAGAGGAGCGGAGGTGGTGACTGTTTTATTTTCAGGATGAGCTATTGTTGTCTCACGTCAATCAGGCTCATTGATCAGCCTGAGCTGACATTGGGGAAGTCATTTCAGAAGGAGGAAGGGGTGTTTTAATGGGCTGGTATGCAGCAGATCATCAAAAAAAAAAACAGATGTGAAATGAAGTATGAAAATCTTGTGTTTGATTAGTGGAGTGTAATGGAAAACGTTACTAGCTTAGCTTTAGGGTTGTGGACAAACCAAAAGAATGTAGCTATGGGAAAGAAAGAAAAGATCATGTGAGGTCACACAAATACATTTATACGACGGTTAAACACAAGACATCAAAGCAAATGTGATCAGAAGTTTGGGGAAGTGAGCTGGAATGCAGACTGGCAGCGTGCCTCATGTTTAAGACACTTTAACATCCTTATTGACACACATGAATTCTCTCCATTAAACACCAACTTCAAACCAAACTCAGATACACTCAAGATATATGACACATTTATTAAAAGTTCTGATATGTATACACGGTCTTGTACATGTGACAGTGTTCAACATTGATTGTTCACTCGTATACAACATTTGGTTTGAATTAATTTCCATGAGAAGGGTAGAGGAGCTTTTTAACGACCCCTCAGTCAGTCTGTGAGCGACCGTTTCATATCTCGAACTACAGGCTGTGCCTGATATTATAAAAGTTGTTTTGGCTGAGGCGTACTGAGACAAGGTGTGTCCTCTTTCCTTTAACTGCCGTGAATAATGCTTGGATAATAGTGCTGAAAAGAATGCTAATGTGGCTGCGAACAGAGGCCCACATTGAGTAGGAACTAAAGACTTCCCTCGCTTTGTTATTGTTCCCAAAAGACTACAACCTTTCCCACAGTTATACAGGAACTATTTAAAACATTACCTGTTAACTTTGTGTCTCACATGGAACCATTTGATTATGCAGTTCCCTCTATTTAAATAAGAAGACTATGCAATTCTTTTACCTACCCATACAAATGGGGTCGCCTGAAATTTGTATTAACTGATCAATAAAAAATATACTAAATATTTAAATATACTGAACACAGGCTACCCGAGGGCCATAGCAAATGGAAAACAAGGAACTTGTGAGTCTCTGTCTGTCATCCATTGTGTAGAAATGTCCTCCCAGCATGTCTTCCTCTGTCCACAATAATATACACGATAAAGCCTACACAGTAGAAAATCTATTACGTGATTGAAAACAAATTCATTTGAGTAAAAAGCTGTATGTGGTTTGGTGAAGTCAAAGTGGGGTCATGAGCCAAAAAGGTTTGTGAACCACTGATTTAAGGGTTGCTGGTCAATCAAAGCAACATAAATATAAAGGACAGAATACAGTCATCACATCATAATGTTTTACAATAAAAAATAAACAGTCCAGTATGAAATAATATGACTCCATGTCCCCATTATTCCCAAAAGCATAATTTACAGTAAAGTGATACTTAAACAGCGCAGTCTAGAAAAGGTTTCACCAGCTTTAAAGATTCAATTGGACATTTTTGGAAATATAATCAGTCATTTTCTAGACAAGTTAAATTTGAAATCCAAACTCATATTTGTTTTGGCATTACAAAGCTGGAGTCTGTTAGCTCAGCTAGTTTAGCTTAAAAACTGGAAACTTCAAAGAGATCGCATTGATCCTTCCTCAGGCCACTTTTACATCTATAGCTCACAGCTCCAGGATGAAACTCCATGTAAAACTCCAAATTTTGGCCAGTACACTTTGTATCTGTTCAGATCAAACATGTTCACACGTATCAATAGGTTGTTGTTTTTCTACTTTAGGAGAGAGCAAGGCTAGCTGTTTCCTCCTGTTTCCAGTCTTGATGCTAAATTTGCTAACTGGCTGCTGGGCTTATTTAATTTACAGATGATGTTACAACATCTAGCTCTGTGCACAATCAGAAAAAAGCCTGGTTCCCAGAAGGTCTCATTATCCCTCTGAGATCACTTAGAAACATGCAAAATGCTAAAAGCTCTTGACACATTTTAAGCAGAATATATCAGTGCAAAATCACATTTTTCGGTGACACCTCCTCCCTGAACCATTTCATCCGTCACTCTCAGTAGTTTGAATCTGGCATCTTAGCGAGTAACTTGCAGGAGGAGAGGTAGAGTGCTCAGTGACGCTGGCTGCTGTGAAATGACTGCTCTAATTGTAGCACCGTAAGTGAGTCTCTGAAAAGAACAATACTTGGTTTCATAAGCTTTTTCACCCTGTCGCAGAATCACTGAATGCCGTACTTTGTTTCCAGCTCCTCTGCCGCCCGTCCAAGATTCATCTCTCTCAGTTTGTCCAACAACTCCTGCAGCAGGGGCCTGTGCAGCATTCCCCCACATCCTCCGCCACCTGCACGGGACCCTCTCTCAGCCCACACCCTCAGCATCTGGTAGTGAGCCTCCCGGGAGGATCTGTAATCCAGCTCCGCGTGTTCGATCTCTGAATCCCTTACACCAAGAGCGCGCATCAGCTGCTTCACCTTCAGCACAGGAACAAGATCCAGCACCATGTAGATCAGGTCAGGGACTGCAGCAGGTAGAGAGGAGAGAGAGGAGGGAAAGGGGGTGTTGTGTGGAAGAGATAAGAGTTAACACAATAGTTTCTGTAAGTCTGAGCCGTAAAACTCAGGACCATTGCTCTGTAAAATGCGCTGCTATCAGAGTAAAAACACTCAGTCAATAAAAAAAGAATACATTTGAAAATCTGTTTGTTTTTGTTGGAGGTAGCGATCAATCTTTGTACAAAACAGATCACAAACTTCCTTAAGAATTTGGATCACAAATTCTCAGGATGTTTTCTTGATATCTGAATGTTTGACGTTGTGCTGCTTGAATTAAAGTCACTTGACTTAAAGGTTCAATGAATCCTTTGGACAAGAAAACTCACTCTTGATTTCCAGAGGGGGGCTGCCCAGCAGATCGGACCTCTCCTGATCCCTCACAGGACTTATGGGGGCAGCCTCAACACTGCTGTTAGAATGCTGCTCTTTGTATATCAGGCCGCTCTACAAAACAAGGGCAGAATACATTTCATAGACTGTAGATGAAGATCCAGCAGAGGAAAGTAAACCCTGACAGGTAGGTCAACACACCTCACACGAGTCCAGAGAGTCATCAGATGCTTCGGAGGACGACTTCAGCAACTTGTTCTTCGTGGACCGTTTTGTTGCAATGTAGGTGATGGCAACCAACACCCCCGACATTACCATAGCAACAGCAAAAAATACTCCTAATATTTTGACAAGATATCTTTCCCCGGGCTCAGGAGCTGCAAAGGGTTCCCAAGGGGCACATGGTAGACATTTAGTATACATTCAATTGCTAGAGCTAAAAACACGTGCAAAATCACTTTTACAAAACTGAACTGAACTGTTTTTTTTCTATTAATGTCAATATTTCATCATTCAGTATTTGATTTGATGGATTTTCTCAACAATGTTGTTTCTGTTGACATTTTTGCCTAGAGCGACATAAAGTTGTAAAAGCATGACCTAGCAGCAAAGACTAGTTAGCCAACGCTAAACGCTTAAATTTTTAAATATTATAAGCTGAATGATGTTGGTTATATTAAGCAAAAACAACTTTAAATCCTGATGTCTTCCAATGCTTTAACAATAACAAAACCAACTTCTGACTGTCATTCATTATCACTTCTCAGACGGTCGCTACTGCTGCTAGAACTACAGATGGGACCAATCTGATCTTATATCGGTAGCGGGTCAGATATTGATGTAATTTACGTATCGGACCACCAATTGACGTCTGATCCACGTCACTGATCAAGAAAGATCATTGGGCACTTTAAACTTTCTCAGCTCGCTCAGACTACGTTCAGACTGAACTGTAAGAAGTGTCCACATATCATCATCACAGCAGATTCCCTGATCCTTTTTTATTAAAGACATCTGAAATAAAAAGTGTTTTATGTTCTTTGGACAGTAAACCAGTGCTCGGCCTTTCATATTGATAAACCAGGTCTCATTTCATTTACACTTTCCAACCATAAGTTTCAGTATTTCTGCAGTCAAGCAGAGCAGAATCGACAGTCTAAGTGAATAACTGTATTCCTATGGAAAATGTACCATTATGTGGTAACCAGTGTATTCATTTTTCAAAATAAAAGCAGGGCTGGATGATCATAACCCCTTTAAAAGTGCTCACTTTTTGTAGTCTGAGGACACAGATGTTTGCACCGGCGGAACAACTGGGGAGAACAGAGAGGACATTTCACAAGATTAAGGAGGAAGTCACACATGTAAAAAAGGAAGTGATGAACTCAAAGGCTGAGTTGCTGTTTTAAACCAGAAAATGAGTTCAAACAAGTGTATGTTAACTCTTTAAGTACAGTAGAACTGTTACTGATACACAGGAGACGGGAATAAGTTAAAGGAGAGATAACGTTCATCTATAAAAATCTATATTAAAGGCTGTATTCATTTGCACAAGAGAGGAGCTGAGGATTGTGGGATATACTCCCTGTTTGTATATTTTATTGGGTGTATGTTAACCTATGACCTATTACCTGAAAATACATAGCTTAATTACTGCTCACAAAAATGAGAGCACTTCAGCACTACCCTTATTCAAGCTTCTTATTCTTATAGTGCCAACAAAGGCTGTTTTTCTTCACTCTCCAGCCAAAATGACAATCCTTCGCTTTGTTTCACACAGCTACAATGATATTTTTCAAGACAGTAAGAGAACTTTTTTTTCTAGATATTCAGTGAAACACGCATTCAATGGTTTCAACAGAAGCCTGTGGAGGTTTACAAAGATGTTTGGTAAGTGTTAAAACGTCAGTGGCAAATTTTGAGTGTCTCGTAACTTCTCTCTTTAGTTGCAAAAAAAATGGAAAGATTGACCAAAGTCGGACATTTTACTGCAAGTTTCGATTCAGCAATCTTACTTCCTCATCAACAGCTTAAAATACACCCATCCCAAACAGCCGGACACTAATACTGCATGTTCATATACTTGAGTATACTCACTTCTTGCAGGGTTCACACCTGTTCTTGACACTCTGGTAGTTCTCTGTACATTCACACTCAGTGTTTTTCTCCGTGTACCTGTGCACAACGAGGAACATTTCAGAATCAGAATCAATAAAATAAAGTACCAGCATTAACATAATCCATGACATTACAGGTTCATGGACTCACATTTCTGTTTTTCCCTCTTATTTTGCCCACATCGTGAACATCGGATACATTCGCTATTTTCAGAGTCGATGATTGATTTGTAATAACCGTCCTCACAGCGGCAAACAGTGTTGTGCTTTGTGTCACACGGTGATTCCTCTATTTCATGCCATGATTCTGCAGAACAGATGAACAAAAAGAAAAAAGAAACAAAACATTAGCTTATGTGGTAAACGCTGGAAAATCAATGAGGTAAACTGATAAATTAATTAATTAATGTGACTCTACTTCTGCAGATTTTGCACGTTCTGCAGTTTGGGGTGTAGTTCCTCTCTTCGTTGAACTGTGATTTAGGACAGGCGGTGCAGTTACTCCTCTGGTCCTTATTAGGACACATTTTTACGAGCTTAAAACCTGGAGAACACAAACACCACAGTTAAGTCTTTTTTTTTGCAGGCCATTAACAAAATAGTAGATACAGTTACTGAATCACTGGTGCCAATTATAGACATTGGATTATAGACACAATTATAGACACAATTTGACAAAAAAAACAAAAACCACACTGTAGGCAAAGTTCCCCGCCAAGTCACTTCTTCATGACTTCTGATGTCCCCACTTATGACCTGAATGAGTCTCACATGAATGGAGGATAAATGATAATCTAAAAGAGAAGTTGACGACGTGATAAATGAAGATGACAGCAGCAGAATGACTGCCAGCGGTAAGCGATGAAGCGTGAATGATTATATAGATTAGGGATGAATACAAAAGCTTAGGTAGTCAGGTACTTGTTGACGTTATTACATGAGTAACGTTTCGGTACTTGTGAACCTGCACATGAATTGTTATACTCTACAATAGTTTACTTTGTTAGCATTACAAGTGGAGCTGAGCTTTCTGGGTTTGCCTGACTGAAGACAATAAGTATGAAAGTAATGAAAGGTACACAGAGGTGTAACTTCTCCAGATACAGCTTCAGCTTTACTCAACTTTCCCACATGTGCACAGCGAGCCATATCATGGCAACCAAAAAAAAAACGCTTTACGGCAGGTAGTGTAACTCTCTGGGGACACATTACTCCAAAAGGCTAGAGCAAAAAATAAATAAAAAAAAGATGACGATAACGTACAGGACAACATATGTGGCATTAAACTTGCATCTCATAGAAATACTAGTTTGATGTTTAACCGCATGAGGCTACACCCCAAGGAGAGACCAGCGGAGACAGATAACAGGTAGTGTGCATCTCATCATCTCTTAACACATGGTATCATCACATGTTGTTGTGATGATACCAGAGCAAAGAACATACGCCTTGTGTCCAGACAAGCTCATAACCAAATAATGGCTACTGTAGATATGCTCCAAATAAGATTTGTAAAAGGAAGAGCTTCTGAGAGCTGATGGCATTTGTCTAGCCTGTGTAGAAGCCACCATCACGGCTGACAACAATGTTGATGTACCCAGTTTATTCTTTCTTTTTCCTTTTTAACAGTTTTAAGAGCCCTACCAGGGATGAGTGTTGCAAATAAGCATCCCCTAGCCACACTACGAGACTTGCATTGGATTGCTGTATTCAGTTTGTCTATGTACATTGTATCTGTTCCTATCAAACGAACATAAAATGGAAAAAAAACAAGGTGGGAAAGATACAGCAGAATTGTGCAGAACAGCAAAGTGTCTGTTTTCTTCCTACAGACATGTGCACAGCTGTCAGCGCAGAGTCATATGTTAACGTCACTTGTCATCTCATTCACAACTCGGATTTGGAAGACCGCTGTCCTACAAATATGCTGATGAACGACACGCTGCAGAAAACATAGCGGACCAGCAGGAGGTTGGTGTCCGACATATACGGTAATTCATGTATGAGGGTCACATACTGTATCCGGTACCGCATCGTGAGTTACCCTGCGATTCCCACCCCGAGATTTAATAGCAGAAGTAGAAGTCTGTTTCTGTCTTTGATTCATGTGTGGTGAAGGAAGATTAGATTACCTGGATGGCATTTGTTGCAACAAACTCCTATTTCTTCATTAAGATACTCGTCATCTTGACACTTCAGCTCCTCTGACAGTTGTAACAAAGCTGTCAAAGTGGGGATGAACATGCACTGCAAAATAAGAGTTACACTGAATATACAAAGACAACTTTAACTTGCATCACTGGGCAGTTTCTTCATGTATTCATGCATGTTTCATGTAACATATTTCTGACCATGAGGAGCAGTATGGTGCCAGCAGAGGCTTTGGGGATCCATTTTCCTGTGTGAACTCCTCCCTCCATTATCCCAAAGGTTTCACTCCATCCTAGGCCACCTGCAAGAAAATGACCAGAGAACTTCAGATTAGTGTCCACACAGAGTTTACAACTCATTACATTTCTTTGACCAACTAGTGCAAACGATGAAGAACAGTTAAGCTTTGCCTCTATTGCCCATCCTTTAACACTGTTGTTGAGGTGTGGAGATGAGCTAACAACTAGCAAGTGACCTGAGCTGCTGGTTAAGAAAGAAATTACGCTTTATAAGGGTTTATACACTGTTTTCATTTGAGGACACAAGACAACCTTTTGGTTACTTTGTGCACAGAGGCTGTAGGGTTGAGTGGGTGAGCAGGGTTCTAACCCGACCGGTTCCTTTCCAGCATGTAAACGGTAAATGGACTTGAGCTTGTATAGCACTTTTCCGGTCTTCTGACTACTCATATCACTTTTACACCGCATATCACACCTACCCAGTCACACCCTGACGGCAGAGGCTGCTATGCAAAGTGGTCGTCAGCATTAGCTCTCCCATTCATACGCATACGCCAAATTACAAGTTTCAAGAGACCCAAACCACTGAAGACATCCAGAAATGTTCCTTGAAACGAAGGTGAAGAGAACTCCTTTTGAGGTGCTCGAAGCTTAAAAACAAAGTTTGAAAACCCAAAACAACGTCCAAACAATGCTCCAGTTATTGATCAGGACACTTAGCTATGTACACACATTATGGGAACTACTTTCTGACTAATAACAAATAGTCTGAATAAAAGCAGTTTCAGACCTGTGGCTCTGTGGGTTAAGTCAAGTACCGTGATATTCTTTTGGGGAGGGGGCTTAGGTTTCAGAGGTGTTTTTTTCCTCAACAACTGAACAAGAATACGAGAAAGGTTGTAATGACACAAGCAATACACAGGTAAGTTACTTTTTAATCTGATAAAACGTCGAAGTATTTTATTTGAATGCCAAATGTCATATCTTAAATGAACTCTATTTGTTGTATGCGTCATCCTTAGCTGTTTTTTTATTTTTTATAACGGTGTGAAGGAATGACCTGGCTCATCTGAGGTCGTTTCAGTGTAAATGTGTTATCAACACCGTGGATCACCTGTAAGAGATTAAGGTCATGGTACGGAAACATGTAAGGTTATAAGGATTTTATGGCTCCTAGCGCACAATAAACAAGTTGGTTTATCGACTGTTATATATTTCTGCGCAACTTGTTTCGCAGCTCCCCCCTTCCTCCTCCTCCTCCTCCTCCTCCTCCCCACTTCACTGTCGGATGTTGAGAGATTTGTTCTATAACGATTTTAAAACCTTAAAAATAAGTCTGGCGATTTACGTATTTAGCCTACATGTATCGTTGACCTATGTTAGAAGTAAATACACTGTAAAGTTTTAGCTGTTTTTGTTTCTTCGTCATTGGTTTCGTTTTCACTCGGCTTCACACCACAACGCCCACTACACAGCCTGAAGTCTGATATGAATCTGCTCTTCCCACAGACAGTACATCCTTACGACAGTAAGTATTTTACCGTCACTTACCTGGACGACTACCGACGGATATCTTCTTTAGGCCTACTTCACTTCCATGTACCAACACGAATGTAAATGAAGTTTAGTTTAGGGCTAGTTGTTGTTTCACTGCAGGCTGATGTGGCGGCGCCGTTCGCTCTGGTCTGCTGAGCTCGTGCGGAGGCGGCCTCATACGGGAAAACGCTGCGTCACGTGGCCATTTCAAGGAATTGTGAGACAGAGTTGGGCAACAAGAAGCCTTGGGCAAAAACAAACCTCAACATGTCTGATGTGACAGCTTAGAATGAAGAAAATATGTTGATTTGTTGCTTATGAACGAAAAAAAAAAAAAATAATAATAATAGGCTGCAACAGCATTTTGTAACATGACATTAACCAACTTTTATTCAGCTTTGTTTCACTACTATGAGAAAGCAAGGATATTATAGAATGACTTTGCCATTTAAACATAATCTCAAGTTAACTGAAGAACAAAGTAATTTATTGTTCGTCTTTCAAATCCAACAAGTAAACATCTGTCAGACATACTGTCATATTTCACATGAAAAATTGTATGAACTGCCATTGTAATTCAGTTTTATTTACGGTACTGTTTAGAGTAAAGTAAATAGTAAAGCCTGTAATCACAGGCACCATAACTAAGAGGCTAGAGTTTTATCCAGTAGGCCAGCAGAGTGTAGTCTCACATGACTTGAGCTCAGTAAGCAAGACAAGTGCTTCCTCAGAAAAACCACTTCCTTCCTTTCAGTCAGCAAACCAAGATATAATCTCTCTACTCTTCCTCCTCCTCCTCTATCTTTTCAGTATCTAAAGCATGGTCACACTTCATATTTAGGTCTTTAAAAGAAGTAGTTAATAGGTAAAATGACCTTACAAAGTCTTCCTTATAAGGTCTGAAAGCACGGTAACTGTAAACAATTTCAAGGTTCTTGTAACCTTACCTGCTGTGCAATCCTTACTGCTGACACCCCCAAATCTAAAACAGGCATGATTGCTGGAGAACAATACTTAAAAAATAAACTAAGGAAGAGAATATTAAAGCTGAAAAAAGCTTATTTAACGGTTAATCCATGATGTGTGTAAATGCACAATAGAGTTTGTATAAATACAAAGAGATAAAAAATGAATATACGATACAATTTTTAACACAATCAAAGTCTTATCAACCGATTATAAGCGTCTTATAAGGGCTTTTATCACCTATTAACTATACAAGGACCCAATTGTTTGCAGACACTAAAAGTAGGTCTTCTCTGACATGCATGTGCAAACATTCTGAGTTTCTCTCAGCCTGTGAGGACCTTACAGTGCATGACTTAATGATAGATGATGATAGAGTCTGCATGAAGATTTGTCATCACGTCCAGTAAAGACTTTTTTAATGTGTAAGCCTACTTGAGAAAACCAATGTTGACATGTTTCTGGTTAAGATTCGTCTGAAGTTCTAATCGCACATACTAATCTTTGCAGTCAATAGGCCTCAAACTGAAACCTGACGATAAGCATGAGCAGGTTTGCTCTAAGTCAGCTTAGAGTGATTCTGATGCTCCTTCATCTCTCTCACACTCATCTCTGTACTCTGTTTGCTGATCCCCCAGCCACACCATGGCTCACATGGCAGCCCCTTCCCTTCAAGATGTTGCTTCATCACGCAAAGACCCTGTTTTAGAAGTTACAGAATGTCACGTGATGTGGTTTCTAGCATGAGTGTTAGAAGAAAACATGACAGCTGAAAAAAGGATGAGCTTTGACCCAGTGTCTATTTCAGCTGAAGATAAGGATGTTTCTGAAGCAACACATTTTATTATAAAGAGAAATAAATCACAAAATGTAGTATGTTGTGTTATGTCTTCACTGAATCAGGAAAGGGTTTGGCCTACTGTACCATTATAAGACATGATGGTGTCTGCTCTCAGGCACAGACTGGTAGATGATTCCAAAAGAGAATAAGTGACGACTGTGCCTCCCATAATACTTTGGTAGACTTCAGGTATCACAAGCAGGTCTAAATTCTGTAAGCATAATGTTACTTATCCAACCAGACAGTTAGGATTCGACTCCATACCAATGTATGTGAAACAAACAAGCAGTCACAGGTCCTGTTCTCACTGCAGAACAATATACAGCACAACTAAACTTAAAACATGGCATCTCTTCACAAACAAGAGCAGGTTGTGCGTTTGGTCAGCAGAGGCTGTACAACTGCTTTAAGATGCCACAATGAATTCCTTGAGCCTATATCAGACTGTTTGCAGTCGCCGTTAGTGATGATAAAGGCAGAGACTTTCCTCCAGAAATAAGTTCAGCGCTGTAACCAGTATCTTTGTTACAGAGCAGCAGGACAACTGTTACTGTTACTGTCTGAAACGAAACATATTAACCATGCACGTAGCAAGTTATTTTAGCCATACCATTTTGTCATGAAAAATCTGATCAAATTGGACGAGATTTTTAGAGTTGAAAAAATAAAACAAAGATTTGGTTTGAAGTGTAAATAGATATCGGTCATTAACGCTTCTCTATGTTTTTTAGCATTTTATTTTTAAAACAAATTAAATGTACTTTACTCCTCCTAATGTCTCTCATGTCACTTCATCTCGATGCAGACAGATGACATTCACAACGAGCTGACAAATTTCACCTTTTAGAATTTTCTTATGTATTCTTTTCATTTGTAATTATTAAAATGAGTTTCTTCTTAAGGCTGTGTGTCACACGGATGTGGCTTTTCAGCATAAGGATGTTTTCTTGACATGAAGTTTATCTTCTCATCAGTTTTTCTCTAAGAGTTAGATGAGTGGCTTAAATTTTGGTGACACAACTATGTCATTCAGTTTTAAGAAGCAGTCAAAGATACAAAAGATGGATTGAACCTCTAGACGAAAATACATGACTTCACTTGCACATACATACAGTTTATACCAGAACAGATATATACTCTTATGTATGTTTACATATCTTTGTATCTATCATATATACATAAATATGGGAAGTGGCCAAAATAGAATGCATGCTTGCATACAGAGATACATATACATGCATCTGCACACATACAGACATGCTTACTTGTTTTATTTTAGTTGTTTTTTTCCGGTAGTTTCACAAACAGAAGTGTTGATAGCTTTCAGACAAAACTTTGATTTTGGATGAAACGAGAGTGATGGTGCCAGTGGAAAGTAGTGGAGGCTGATGGAGACCATTTTTTATGTAGCCGGGGGTCGCTACAAAAAGCCAGAGAGATACTTGGTTAGAGATCAGTGTAGAGAGCTTTCAAAGGCATCTGTAAAAAAAAAAAAAATATCATAATGACTCATCATGACCTTTTATGAATAATCCCCTGACACTGTTCTGGGCCCCTGTTCAGTCTCACACTCAGAGGGTCCCAGGACACATGTAGTATCAACTTCTCCTCAACAGTAAGTAAAGACTCTAAGAGACATTTTTAACAGGACTACATTTGACTAAAGTTTCCTATCATGTTATATTGGAAGATTTATATGTTGGTTTGACTTTACTCTGTGTGTGTGTGTGTGTGTGTGTGTGTGTGTGTGTATTTCAAATCTGAAATGTATGTATATGCAGTATATTATGTAGCTGAACTTCCAAAGTCTGTGTCTGTTAGGACACATCATGTGTCATTTTCATTTGTTAAATATATGATAAAAGAAATCTCAATTTCCCTCCTGCCTCTTTCTGCTCATCCTCTTCATCTTCCTTTTCTTCTTCCTCCTCCTCCCAGATGCTGTTTTTCCATTCTGTGTTTTTTACTTTCATGTGCAGCCTCTCTTTTGTCTCTGCTGTGCTCTCCATACAGTGCAATAGCTCACAATATGCCTGGCCGAGGACAACACATCTGTTTTGTTGTAACCGCTGCCCCCCAGGTACAATGACTCCTTTATCTCTGGGTTTTGAACTTTCAATACAAACAGGAGATAGTAGCTATAAATAGCTGTGTGTTTTCTCAGGTGAAAGAATGGTCAAGCGTTACCTGAGTTATGTGGAATTACATGTAAGCCCTGCTTAATAAGCCAGTACAGCGATACCTGGAACCTGGACCCCAGCTGCCAATTTTGTACAGAATGCAAGGAAGGTAAGTGACATTACAGCTTTAATTCTAAGGTTGAGGTGTTGTTTGAGATGTGTGAGACCTGAACTCTGTAAAAATACTATTCTAGACCTACAGTAGAAATATTGCCTTGGTGACAGATATAAAGTATTATATTATATTATATTGTATATTAAATACAGCAACTGGTCCCTGATATCCTGATTTCCTGCTTGCCAATACAAGCAGTTTAAAACCCCATTTACCTAGACAATTTCAGAATCAGAATCAGAAATACTTTATTAATCCCAGAGGGAAATTTGCTCTCTGTTTATCCATGCATCATCAGAAAATATATGTTCAATGTATTTCCATAACTTACATGCAAATACGATTATCATAGTGTATTATAAAGAGGATTTAAAAAAAAAAATGAGCTGAGCACAGTAGTAGACCTAAGGGGGTCCATGTTTGTGGTTGCCTGCTTATTGTGTGTGTGTGCGTGTGTGCGTGTGCGTGTGTGTGTGTGTGTTTTCTGTCATGTGTGTGTGTGTGTTTTCTGTCATGTTTGTTGTGTCTGTGATTCTATGTTTTTGTCCATGATGGGTTTGTGAATCATCTTCAGTCCTGTAAATACAAACACTGAAAAGAGAATGGTGTTATTTGAGATGTTACTCAACTCTGTACATTAACATTTCAGAGAAGTTTGCCCATACAGAAACCTCAAGGTCAAACACCCATACAAGGGGGATTTCCCGTTCAGTGTGTGTTAGGGTCGGATACAGTCAGAGAGAGATGTCAAAGTGGAGGGGGGATTGGGGGGAGGTCTGAGAAACCTGTCTTGCCTTGCCTCTGTGAACCAGTTTGGGGGAAGGGGGGTTATCAGAGTGGGATTCTGCAGCAGAAGTTCATGTTAACATGCTAATAACAGCAGCATCAAAGGCAAAGCTTACCCTGAGTGCAAAACAAAGTAGGAGGTGCAGAAAGTAGGCCATCGGAAATAAAAAGAAAAACACAGAAAAGAGAAAAACATCGGAAAGAGCAAAAGATAAAAATGTCATTACTCAGGTCTGTGCACCACAGGTGAGCACAAACAGCCTGTTATGCGCTAACTTAAAATGTCACTGTGGAAAACATAGAAGACAGAAAACACTCATGAGACAAAGTGTGTGATCACATGTAAAACACATTGAATGGTTTCAACAAAACACTTTCTTTACATGTTATAATAAAGATGTTAACACATTTCTGTCTAAGATTACCTTGCAGCTTTAATCCGCAACTTTAAATCTGACATTTCTCACAGAAAAATCTCCAGTAGTTGTCTCTTTAAATATGCACTTTTTGCAGTTTTTGTGCATGAAGGTGGATGTTCAAAATGCCTAAAACGTCTTATACCACACATGCAGGGGCTTTACAGCAGTTATTGCAATGGAAAATTATTTAGATGGAAATGATTCAACCCACACAAAAATGTTACACGGTGCTTGTGTCGTTCAGCAGTGTTGATACAAAGAATATTAAGTTATAATTCTTTCTAATCAAGGTGTGTAGGCTGCAAGGATTCAGAGCTGCAAACAGGAGTTTGAAGTATGCCACATATATTAAACTTATTTACTAATATTTTAAGGTTTTAAATCCCCTTCAATTACAACTGTCATATCAGGATTATTAGAAAACTGCTCGAAGGTGGGACTCCGAGGGAAATTTAGTATTTTGTTCTTTCCCCTGTGAATGTCCTAAAGCAGTCTGATGTAGAAACCCATGAAAAATATGAATTTAGAGAATGAAAAGAAAATCTCACTGTACGATATTTGATATTCATGAAACACTTCAAAAAGGCAAAGCTGCACTGTTAACCCTTCCAGAGCCTTTCAGCAAGAACCCCTTCCAGCTCCAAAATCTTTAGATTCGTAGCAGAAAGACAATCGCCATACATTGTTAAATGTGAGATTGTACTATACACCTGCAGAATGGATAATCTGTTTTTTTAAGTATTCAATTGATCTAGTAATTGTGGAGAAAGTTCATTATGCGGACTGGAAAACAACCAAATGTAGCCAAAGCAAGTTTGTACTGCAGATCATAATGTAGGATGGATGCATTTTCATCCAAAGAATCCTGAAAAGGTCTCATTGTTAAAAGTTAACTTCAGCTGTCTGCATGAGCTGATATATCAGTTCATGAGTCCTTCAAATATACTATTCATTTCATGCCAATGTTTTATATCTGTAAGCTAAGTGTTTAATTGTGTATTTTTAGGTATTTATAAAGATATTTTCACCATTAGTTTATAAAACCGTATATATTGCAAAACGAGAAAATTAAGGAAGCACCTACATTTTAAATAAGGAAAGCATTGATGAAATATTATTTGAGTACTGAAAGAACAGAAACAGTTTCACAGTATATGGAGCACAATATATGAAGCTCAGACTGAATAGAGCCCAAAACTCTAAGGAACCCCTTAACCTGCCCTGTTGTCTATGTAAGTGTAAGTGTATGCATGTGTCTGTGTGTGTTTTTGTGTTGTTTGTAATAGTAATTCTTATTGTTTATATGGTGGATAACTATATAATATGTTTGTTTGTTTGTGGGTGAAGGACAAGTACAACCTATGAGATAGATGTAGATGGTGAACAATGTAAGCATGGTCTATCAAATCATTTTTTTGCCATTTTCTTATAAAACTATGATTGTTAATGATGTTGTAACATTGAATGTACTCAGACCCTTAGTCACTCTTTCGTTCAATGAAATACAATAAAAGGTATTTCTAAAGAAAAACAGTCAAAGTAACGTTTAAATACTGAGAAAGTTGAGGTGTCTGTCCATACAGAGTAACGTTTCAAAAGGGAAATGTCAACAGTATTATCAGTTACAACCAGAGTCTTTACCTGCCATGCCCAGTTTGTGAGTCATTTCTCTTTTTCAGATTTATGTCACATTATAACGACGACTTTAGATCATTTTGTGTTGGTTACACACTTACAAACTCAGAATCATCACAACAGTTCATATTTCAATGACAGCTGTTTGACAAATGTTTGTTATATTTTTACAGCAAACATCGAGTACGAGTCACAGTGCAACAGCACTCATGATGCTGTGTGCAGATGTAAAGCTGGCTACAGATGCAAAGACCAACCCTGCACAAAGTGTGAACAGATACCGACCACCACCATTGCCAGCACACTCCATCCACCCTCCACCACCGCCACCACCTTCACCAAAATCTACCCGTCTACTAAAGGTTGACGCCCTCTTCACACATTTAATCCAATTTGTCACATGCTATACAATGTTTTCTCTTTGTAAAATATTTCCCCGTCACATTTTAAAGACAGAAAGGTGAAAGGGAGGTTTTCAGGAGTGTATTTACATAACGTGACTTGAAAGCTGCCTTTCCAAAATTATGAAAGAGCTCTGCTAGAGAAGTCTGAAGCTAAATTCTGATACCATCATAGCTAATTAGCCATAAAGAAACCATTTGTTTCATTATCAGACAAACAAACTGACTTGCTAAATCTTACAGACAAAAAAATTGGGCATCGCAAGATGATATATGTTGCTGATAATTTTGTTTAACTTTTTTCAAAAAACAAAAACCAGACATTAACAACAAGAAATTATACAAATTATAACATACTGCAGTGTTAACTTGAGCTGGGTTCTTATAGTTTGGCTCAAAGTAGTATGACATTTATTTTTGGTGTTATTTGGGTAAAATTCCATGATATCCGGTGAAGTTGTTGTACTGTGGTCTGAAATCGAATCAGCACTCAGCTGCTCTTCTTGGCTTTGTATTCAGGATTCTGAAATTCTCAAATATCTAAACCGTGACGGGCACTTTTTGACCAATCACAGCTCATTTCAGAGCAGGGCATTGCTATTGGATGTTTGGAAAAGTGTGGATATTAGTTGCATTTTTAAAGCTGATGTCCCTTCAGGGAAGATCATTTTTCAATCTCTAATCAACATCATTTCCATTTAGTTGCTTGAAAACACAAACCAGGATAAAAGCTTGACATAGTAACCAAAAAGCCATAAAACGTTTGTTTAGCCTTTCTGGTTTAACATCTGTTGAACCTCAACAGACATCACAGTATGATCAGGTCGGATTTGTGGTCTTTTTGCAACAAATTTTGGTTTCGGTTGCGAGAAATTGTTCAGGGTGAACCACAATTTGTAGTTTTAGGAAATACTCCTAATAGAATTTCTAGTTGATCATTTTGATTTAAAACATTAACATGTAAGTTCAAAGACTCACATGAGTTGTTATTTGAGAATTGAGTTGTTGTTTTTCACATTGTGATTATTTGTTACTAACTGATTATAACCTCAGCCACTGCAAGTTTTTAATGTGCAGCATCTATTCAGATCAAGATCAGACACACAAAGTGGCCAAGGCTATTTTACATCTTTTAATATTTAAGACTTTCTGGGACTTCAGAGTGACTCACTGTCTAATCTGATTAATCTGATAATCTGTTTTTATATTTCCACTGAACTCTTAAAAGTGTTAACAACACCCACCTGGTCATTTAATTTTTGATATATCCTCAAGTCCTAAATGATCTAGTTCTACCTGTGCCGATAAAAACAAGAAGTGATTAATCGCTTTCCTCAGTGGGTGTTTAATCCCTCTTTTTCACATTCCCACAGATAGCACGTGGTTCCTGGTGACAGTCGCCGTCCTGTGTGGATTTTTTGCAATTATTGTCGTTGCCAAAATCTACTCTTTCCAGCGCTGGATCAGAAACAAGCTTGGTGGTGAGTAAATGTATATGTTCAATTTACCTCTGTTTTATAGATTTATAAAATTAATTCACTTTTTTTTAATTGAATTATCTTAAGCTATTATTGTCCCACAGTTTAATCTAATTCCTGAATCAAACCTCTCTGTCTTGTCTTTATGCTCAGGGTACATCTTCTGTGAAAAGGCTGTACCTGTACCTACATGCTCAGAGGATAATGTATCAAAGCCTATCCAGGAAGTGTGTGGAAAGTGTGAAAAACTCCTTGATGTTTGAGTTAAATACAAGAAGCTTGACCTGGAAGAGACACAATTTTACAGGTGGAAATTTAAAGCCACACATCAGATGGAAAGCATTTCTCCTTGCTTTGGACTTTTTCAACAGACAGAGGCAAACATCTCTCAATCCAATGGAGCCACAGAGAACGGTTGTTACAGGACTGATGGGGTCTCCTGGCAGAGGAAGGATTGTGTGAAATCTGAGGCATTGAGATGATAAAAGTGTTTTAAAGAGGACATGTTACTTTTTTCACCTAAAACAGTCTCCTGTGGTCTAAATTAAACATCTGTGCTGTGCTCTGATCAAAATATAACACGAATCAGCACTAGAGGAGGTTTGTGACCCTGTATAAACCAGCTCTCTCAGAACGCTCCGATTTGGTGTGTGTCTCTTTAAATGCAATGAACCTCCCCTGAGTTTTCCCGGTAGACATCACTCCTTCGCTAGCGAGAATAAAAATGGCAAACCTGCGCAAACGTTTTGTTCTAGGCTGGGGTTGGAATCCATTGGTGGAGATATCAGGGGAGGGGAGGGGATTTTCTTTTTTTACCAGAATCCCACAGTGATGTCACAAGGAGAGCAAATTTGAAACGGAGCATTTTTCTCTGTGTTGTAGGACTTATGCAGACCACAAACAAAGGACTTGATGGGTTTAATTCACATTTAGTGGGTCAGTAGACACTCAGGTTACCCAAATATATGTTCATAATATGTCCCCTTTAAAGCACATAGATCCAGTTAAGATAGTAAGACTGTGGTTGTGCATGAGTTGAATGTGCAGCATGTTGCTAAATGGAGGTATGTACTATGTTAACAACAATTAATTTCACACCTTAAGATTTAAGTGTTTATGTAAATATACTTTGTACAAATCACAAGTGAATGTTTTCATCTCACATATCCAGGTTTTCATTCTCAATAAAATTTATTCGTTATCAAAACGTTACTTCATGCAAAAATGTCTACTTCATTACCTTAGAGAGCAGAGCTTATAAAGCAGAATTTACAAGTCAATTTTGAATTAGAGGTATCAAAGGAAATCACCATCTAGTAGTTCTCCCCAGAGTTTGAGTTCTTACTTGCTCCGACTGCACGTTTTTCCAGAAACTGCAGATTGAAATGTCTCTGTGAACCTCACTGAAGCACAAACTGCTCTGTCGTTTCACAGTTTCTTCTTTTAAAAGTCTTTGGATCAGTCCTGGATGTCGGCAGTCATCGCCACCAAAACAAAATATTGATTTGATTCATCACAGAACTTCTTCTTTTGACATGTGGCAGTCCTTCCCCTCTTCCTGAGAGGGGAGGAACGTGCTGTCCATCTCTACACTCCTCTCCTCCTCAGAGAGATGAACTCTGGTTGAGGGTGTGGGTTGAAAGACAGGACAGTCTCTCTCGTCTTCTTCCTTGCTGCAACCCCTCTTCACTGTCTTCACACCTTCAATTGTTGAACCAACTTGGTCTGTGAATTGATTGAACAAGCTGAAGATGACCGTCCTTGGATTGTGGACATGGACTGGCCCTACAGAGATAATAAAAAACAAAAACAGCAACAAGTATGCTTAAAGCAAAGTTTCTTATTGACCTTTTTGTCATAGCAGGACAACTATGTTAATCCTGTACTCATAACAGAAACACAGCTGTTTTTGTAACAGTTTTTATCTGTATGACCCCAAAGAGTGAGATGAGTATTTCACATGAACGTCTTATATCACTCATCAGTACCGAGATTGGCTGCTAAGAGGGACGATGGTTGCTGCTTTGCACTGAATGAGTCTCTGGGTAGCTGATGAGTCGGCTCCTTCAGCTTGTGAGAACCTTCTCTACTGCCCTAAAAAAGAAAACTGTCATCAGTTTAAGGGAAACAGAAAATAAATGATCCGGTATATGAAGGTTCATGACAGTGTTAAGCTCAGAAGTTGCTCTGCTTACCTCATTGCATAGCTTTGACATAGCTGGAAAACAGCAGGTAAGGAAATTAGTAATCAATAGTAATTTTTGGACACTTGTCCACATGTTGAATCAACCTATGTATGATTTAGAAAGCCACTAACCATCTTTATAATTTCTGCAAAGCTAATGACACATCTCAGATTGAAGTAATTTCCAAAAAAGCTTTCAGTAAACTGTTCAGTGTTTCCTCAGAGTGTTACCATTAACTTTTACACCAGAAAATGACTATGTCCCTAATTTACACACCACCTCACCTTGCTTCAAACAAGATTCGTCTCCATGGCAACGAACAACGGACAGGATGACAAGGGCCAAAAATCCGATGACAACAATTGGACACAAGATTGCCGCCAGACGGCTGTTCGTCTTGTCTTTGAAAAAAAGAAAAAAAAAAACCTTGAGGCTGCACTTGGGCACAGTGGGATTTTGAGCTAAATGCTAACATACTCATAATTACATAAATGCTAACATGGGAGCGTGCCTATGTTCCCACAGCCCTATGTTCCCATATTTCTAAGACCTTTTCCAAAATTAGGCCCTATGTTCCCACATTTCCTTCTTAATAAATTTGTATCAGTTAGGGTAAGGGTAACTTACCCTAACCCTTCCCCCTATCCAGACCCTACCCTATGGGAACATAGGGCCTAATTTTGAGAAAATTCTTAGAAATGTGGGAACATAGGGCTGTGGGACCATTGGGCTGTGGGAACATAGGGCTGACCGCATGCTTAAGATACCCAACCTGACTCAAATGCTAATGCTGAAGTGTAGCAGATAATATTTACAAGGTAATATTTCATATAGAACCTCATACATTAGCTTCCTGGTGTGGCAAGATGAAAGGGAATCATCAAAGTCAATACAACTTTTCTACCTGCTGATTTAATTCTTTTAAGATATAATTTACCGATAGATACTAAGAATTTTCACAGTATGTAGTACATAAAAGAGTTTAACCTGCTGGTAACACAATAGAAAAAGGTATGGAATAATTAATGTAAATAAGGATGATACTATGCACCAGCTTCAAATACAATCCAAGCAGCTGTCTTTATCCTTCCATACATGAACTATACCACTGACAGGCTGTCATTGGGTGCGAGGCGGGGTACATCCTGGACTGTTCAGCAGTCAATCACAGGGCTGACATATAGAGACGGACAACCAGTCACACTCACATTCACACCTATGGGCAATTTAGAGTAACCAATTAACCTAATGAGTACGTCTTTGGACTGTAGGGGGAAGCTGGATTACCCTGAAAGAACCAACACATGCACAGGGAGAACATACAAACTCAGAGAAGTTCCTGTCTGATGTGGATTTTAACCAGGAACCTCCTTGCTGTGAGGCAACAGAACTAACCACTGCACCACCCTACTGCCTTTATTTTATTTATTTTTTAGGATTCATCCTCTGGGACAAAGTGCATTTGTCCAGACTTTAATGTCTCAAAAAAATCAAAAATCAAATAAAAGTATGGATACGATCCCTGTACTATTTTCATATTAATTTTGAAACACACACTTACCTGTTTTGAGATGTGTGTCATTTCCTGCCTGTGGGAAGGACGGAGGGCCACACCTGAGATGTGAGATAAAAAGTTTAGTATCTCAGGTATCTCAAACATGTGACCCATTAAACAAGGACACACTGCAATGTCTGTAGATTCTACAAGATACTAAACCATTCTTAATTGTGGACATTTTAATATTTTGGTTTCAATGTAAGTCCACTGTTTAAAGACTCCATTCTGTGAGGTCTTTATTGGGTACTGCATCCACTATTATCCATAACTCACTTGGGAAAGTTGCAGGATTTGGCAGAAGTGCTGGTATGTCCTGAGGAAGCTGAGGAAGGTGTGTGTTTATCTTGGCCTGAGATAATGGCTGCAGCTTCTGGAGAACGAGAACATCAAGGACAAATTCACAGAAGAGTAAGTGAAAGTAACTTCTAAGGAATGAAGCAGAAACAATAAGAGGTGCTGTTATGTCAAAACCGCATATATTGGAAACGTCATCGCTCATCCTGCTCTGGTTTTTTAGACACTGGGACTTGATTATTTCCATTTTGTGACATCTTGTTCTTGTGCTACTTACTTTCAAAGTAAGGTTTAGTTTTCACATCAGCAGAATACAAGATGTAATTTATAACTGGGTTAGATTTTAAGATCCTTCTTCTTTCTCTGGAAATTAGATCGAGAAACAATGTTGTTTACGTTCCCGGGGTGAAGCCACTGACCTGCACTGCTAAGCGTCCGGTCAAGAACCTTTGTTGCATATCATTCTCTCTTCCCTCATTTCCTGTGCTCTCTCAGCTGTTGTCTTATGACAAAAGCAAACACATTCCTGCAGATAATATACTTAAAAAAATCCCTAAAGCCTTGTATGAGGAGTTATAAACTGGTTATAAACTGACTAACATTAATAGGGATTCTTGACCTGACTATTTCTAACTAATTTTCAATGTCTGTAACTGCTGCCCCAGGGTATGTGTCAGACTCGATGATTAACAGCCCTTTTTTTCCCCACAGCACATATTGACAATGAGTCATATATTTGACTGAGGACTTTTCTCTCAGGAAACATCACTGACACATGCACAGGCAGGATTAGCAAAGAGATAGGATATTCTGCTTGGTCCACAGGGGGCACCAAACCTTCTTCACAGGACCTTCAGACTACCAACTTTCAGGAAATCCAAACTTCAATGCACTTTGTAGCTCTTAGAAAGGGTAAGGGTTTTTTCAACTAGCATGCAAACCAACAAGACAACATATTATTCATTTATTTTTTTCAAAAAAACATTTTATCTCTTCAAGTAATCAAGTTTATCTATATATGTTTAGTGTTTCAATAGTTCTGCTAATACTTCATGTAGGACTTAATGCTTGACCACAAGAAGTAATGCTGTATTTGTCATTGTACTCTTATTATCTAAGTTATCTATCTGTATGTGTTTTTTATCTGGTCAGCCCTTTTAAAACTGTATTCCAGGTGTTTCTGGTGTCATTATTTGCCATTCAGCCACAGTCAGTGAAAAACCTCTGTGGTATATTCTGTTTGTAATGACGCCCCCTGCTGGTTGAAGTTAAGGCCTTTTCAATGTGGAAATGTCACTTAAAGATAAACTCTTGCACACTGTTTAACTTGCAAACAAACATTTATTAGCAACTTTTTGCCTGATGAAGGTCTAGTTCCGAAAAGTTCGACAGTGTGCAGGAGTTTATCTTTAAGTTTTGATGGATACATTGCTCTCCTACGCACCTGTCTTTTGAAGTGGATGTGAGAAGGTTTTTGGTCATTTCAATGTGAAAATGTACCAGTTTATTTACCAGTTGAGGATGCTTCCTTGATCTTGTCACAATATCTGCAATTTTGTGATATGGGGACAAAGTCAGAGCATCTGTAACCGGCCTCACAGATGCACTTTACATTAGACTTGCTGGTGCAGGTCTGAACCACCTTCAGATTGTAACCTAAGACAGAGGATGAAAAGGTTATAAATGTACTATATATATATATGTATGAATATATATATATATGTATGAATATATATATATATATATATATATATATATATATATATATATATATATATATATATATATATATATATATATACATAACTGCTAGAATAGATAGAAATGACTCATTGTTTCTCTACCTGGTTTGCAGTCTCCAAAGCAGCGAAGACAGCTGGGTTCTGCGTTTGTTTGATTCGTGTAGCTTCCTGCAGGACAAGGCTTGCACTTTGTACAAGACATCTGAAACTCACCTAACATAAAAGAGAGACACAAATGAGAACAACCGGAAGACAAGCTGAGCAAACAGAGCGTATGTTAATGAAGGATGTGGTCATTTTTTCATCAAGACAGGCAGAACAAACGTGCAAGGAATACAGACAGAGAGAGAAAGAATGATGAAGTATGCGTCAGTGCTTCATAGTAATTTCCAGATGTTATTGACAACTGCTGATTCATTCATTTCAACAGAGAGTCACAGCTTCAAGAGGGACGGACGGAAAATTGATTGAAAAAGACCAACGAAAAAACAGAAGCAGCTCAAGCCAGGTGAACATTTCTGTACCTGCAGGACACAGTTTACACTTTCTGCCCCCTTCTTCTTTTTCGTACCACATGTCCGCCTCCTGTTCACACATTAAAGCAATTAAAGCGGATCCACTCATCTCGAATATGTCCTGATAAACTAGTTCAGAAATAGTGAAACATTCAACTTCAGTGTTGCCACTTCATAATCCTTTAAAAGCAAATGAGAAAAATGTTTTGAGGTCTAAAATGTTACCACTCTTAAAGCAGATCAAATGAAGTGGATGTGAATTTCTTACCTGCAGTGAGATAGGAAGCAACTGTGCAAAGAACATCAACACAATCAGAAAACATTGCATCCTGTGGACAGACATCAGAAAACAACTTTTACAAAATGCCATGTAAGAGTTCAAACCTCAAACAAAGTTAAAGGCAGCTCATGTTTGTAAAGTTTTCATTTCTCCTGTCTTCAGTAAGGCTTGACGTCAAAAAGTTAATTGAAATTCATCAAAAGAACCAAATCCTACCTTCTATATGATGTGACTTCTGCTCTCTTTCTTTTGTTTAGTTAACTTCCTCAAGGTGTGACTGTCTCTCTCTCTCTCTCTCTCTCTCTCTCAGCCCATCATCGGTGTCATTGTTTCCTTACCTGCTTACATCTTCCTTTCTTTCTTCGCCCACACAGCTCTGCTCTGTTTATGCTTTGCTCATCCGCACTCGACCATTTCTGCCACAGAGCCTCGTCACTTTCCGTCCAAACTGTGATAACTGACGAAGAAGGAATCAAAGAAGTGTTGTGCAGTTAACTTTCAAAAATGTGATGGATAAGAAAGGAGCTATTTTTGTGGTAATAGTTTTTCAATCGTTTTTAAAGAACAGCGCAATCAGAACAAGGGCTACTTCAGGTGGAAACTGTAGAGCAACTACATATTGTCAGTCATCTTTCTCAGTAAGAGGAACACACCTCTGGAACACATCATCTGGAATTTAAAAAACTGACAGAGTTCAAAGTTTTTAAGACACTTTAAGAAGTAAAACAGTGGCTGAAACTGAAGCAAGTTTGTGAGCATTGAACGTTTCCTCTTAGAATAATCATTTTACTGTCTGGTCTTATTTAGTTTCTTTGTCTTGAGTTTATAATGTCTGTATTTGTATAGCATCACTGTTTCTGTATTTCTTTAAATCTTTAAAGCCATGGCTAGAAACTGGTATGTATGCCATCTACTTTGTTTTAAATATATGAAGCAATGTTCACAGCACAAATAAAAAAATACAAAAAATAAAATGTCACTTGATTCACAACACATTGTTATAACTGCAGTCAAGTTTTTGGGGAAAAATCTACGGACGCTGAAGTTTAATTTCAGGGCTCATTTATCCCTAATAATAAACAAAACAACAAATGTAGGCTATCTGTATGTATGATAAAAAAGTATAGATACTGATCCAACTTGAATTCAACCAGAGAACTACACACAAACATACACAATAAAAAATAATACTCATCATTTAAATGTTTGTTTTTTGTTGGCAGACATAACCTGTGTCGTGTTATATTGTTTTCAAGTTTGTGTGTGTGTGTGTGTGTGTAGGTGGGTGTGTGTGTGTGTGTGTGTGTGTGTGTGCGTGTGTGTGTGTGTGTGTGTGTGTGTGTGTGTCTAAGGACTCTTGAATGGTAATTCCAACAGAAGGGGCTGAATAGAAAATAATAACACACCATCTTTTTGCTCATTGTTTCTTTTATTCTGTCAGTCTCTCTTTACACATGACATACTGCAGCTCTGCACTGAAGCTTCTTTTTAAATCACTGTCTTTGTGTTTTAAGCTGCTTCGTCACACATCTGGAGTACATGATTCATTTTGTGCCACAATAAAGGAGTTTAATATTTTGAGGAAAGACTTGCTCTCTGTGAAGAGCTTTCACAAGACAATATCCCTTTTGTCTTTGACTTCCAAATGTCTCATTACAAAGTTTTTGTGTCTTAATTCAATGATTTCACGAGTGTCTTCCAGGTGTGTAACTCTCAATATTATTCTAATGCAGTCTTGAAACACAAGTATATATTCAAAGCTATATTTCCTTTACACATATTATCAAAGCCATCATACAGTCATTTCGCTTAAGCATTTATATTTCAGTAATTTTTTTTTACTTGAGATATTTTTAAATTGACTTTAATTGGCAACCACATATACTCATAAAGGACAAGTAACAATGGAAAAGTATTTCCATTAGATTTACATATGTACATTTTTTGAGGTGATTTTGTCCAAAGACAGCTCAATGATTATGTCTCTTTTATCCGATGTATCAAATTGTACTTATTCAGTCTCCCTCTTCTTCATGTTGTATATGTGCCAAAGTCGTTTTAAAAACACTCACTGTACAGACAAAACACTCAAAAAAGAAAACATACACACTGGCACATGCATACATAGAGACACACTCTGTGTGTGAAAGTAAACCTACACAAGGGGAAATGGTGTGTTTGAAACCTCACACAGTTTATGACGTCCTCCTCCTGTATTCAAACACTTGCAATTAGCATTCAGCTAATTCCAACACATGCATCAGTTTACATACGATTCTAGTGTGTCCTATCATTGTTTCTTTGACTGGAAAAAAAATAAATGTGGAAAGGTTGGTTGTCATGGAAGCAGAATAAATACACTTCACCTGCTTCGACCATATTGAAGAAAATGCAGCCAGGACTATATTCAGATATCAATGTCTGATAAAGGAGCAGTGACAGAGGGAGTAGTTCCCTGAATGATTTCCTACAGTAAGCTAACATGTGCCCCGAGAAGCATGACTAAAGTCAAAATGAGGTATGTGTTCGTGTTAATTTATGAGTCTAGTATCGCACCTCCAGCATGTAAGATGAAGACATATCATTTTCTATTTCCAGCAAGTCAACTTTTTTTAATTTTTTTTTAAAGTTTTACAAGTAATAGTGCTGATTTGTTTGATATACATTTTTGCTTAGCTCTTCCTTTCTATGTGCAAACTCTTAACAGGCTCAAAAATAGAATAGGTTTTGTTATATACATCAAGCACCTTTGTGAAAAGCTGTTTCTGCAGCTATATCAAGTCATTTTTTTAACAGCAGTTTTCCTGTGGATTTTTACAATCTGACCATTTTATTTTGGCACTCAATGGCTACCTTACATTTGTCCATGACCATCTTTTTTCTTCTTCATGTAAATATCCTTGAAGAGATTCCTGCTCAGCCATGCAGCTCTGTTCACACGACAGAAGGACCCTGACTGTAATGTCAGCATTCCTAATTTTACTCATTTAAACATCTTCATGACACTTGGGTCTTCAGTGCGTGTTATCGATAAGAACTTATAAGAGTCAGCGACACAGAAAGCAAAATAAAGAGACAACACTGACCCCAGATCAGACTCAAGAGAGTGCAGACTGAATTTTAACAGCACAGCATTTACAACTAAGAACCAACCTGCGTCTATTTGACAACACACTTCTTCTCTGCTGTCATCTTGAACATTTTTTTTTTTTTTGCCACAGTCATATAAATATCCTAGATCAAACTATTTTCAATGCATATCAGTTTTATCATTAACTGATGTAGGTTAACTTGAACGTTTTCCAGCTCACTTCAAATGGCTTTATTCACATCTACTTGGTTATTGTCCAGATAACTCTAACACATTTGTGATGGAATTTCTCTTTTCATGAGAACTTCAATATTGGTGCTGTGGTTCACCACCACTGTGTCGTTCTGTTGAGAGTTATTGTGACTGCAGTGACATTATTGTGACAGGATGAGGTGCATGTAGGCTGTATTTGTAGATTTGACAGAGTAACGGTAATGTGAAATTTAGGATAACGAAACCGAACAGTCCCAGAATTTTTTTTATCATCACAGCAAAAGTGCACCAACCTATTATCTAAGCACTGGTGAGCAAATTTAAATAGTGAGCTAACTATTTGTTAGTCAGCTGATCTTTGTCATTTTTTTTAATGCATGCAAAGTGTAAGGGTCTGAAGAAGAGCGCCCATTCTTTGATTGTTGTTATTAAGAAAGACCTTTATAATGACAAAAAGGGAGGAGGCACGTCAGTAGTCAGAGAGACAAAACTATGTTTTTCTAAATCCAAAAGTATATGTTGTTGTTTTGTCATTACTTTTTGTATTGGTTTTGCTTGTCATTGTGGTTTTATGTTACTTTGTTTACCTGTTTACCAACAACCTGCCAAGGGACTACAGATGGACATTAGCCTATCGCTATAATCTGTTTATGTTCATTAATGTGCACTGTCACTATTTTAAATTAAATAAATAAATCCCTCGTTTATATGTTTTTGAGGGTTTGCTTTGTCAGCGGTTTAATCTGATACTTTACATAAACAAAGCAAGCTCTGAACCTGCAGCTGTTAAGATGCCCCCTAGTGTCAATTAGGCTTAAGGGTTGGTAAATTTGTTTAGCATGAGCTATATGAGGTTCTGGTATTTGCTTGATTAGCTATAAATGTGCAACTCATCATATATGTGTGTATGGAGTCCTAATTTAGCCTTCAACATTGAACTAACAAGACATCAGCCCGTTTACTCACAGCAAATTCTGGATCTGGAAACATCTACAGAACAATCATTTCTAAAGATCTAATGTCCTAACCATTGGTGACAAATGTCCGACAACAAGGTCCAGCTACAAAAGGACCTCTTCCCTCTGCAGGGCAGTGACATCTGTAGTACAAGTAATGAAAAAAAAAAAAACTAGCTCTGCCATTCAGTCATAGTTTCAAAGCTGTCCTCAGTCTCCTCAGACCAAAGCTGAAAAATAAATAATGAAGATGATCATATCAAGGTGTTGCCATAGTTACAGGTGTGTATTGCATATTACTGTAGCACTGTAGCTGGATGTAGCGGAGGTCTCATGAGCACAGCCCTGAACTGTTGCAGGAGTGAGGGACTGTCAAGATCTCCCTGTGCTGGAGGAAGACGGTGGAGACGCTGAAGAACCATCGTGATCTCTCTGACCTGACTCTCTGTGATCAGAGGACGCAGGCCCTGCAGGGTTACTGTGAGGCGTACAAACACATGCAGGAAATTAAGACATGCAAAACGCAACATACTCATACAGGTCATCATTTCCAATAAACTTTTTTCCAGAAGGGAAGTGACATACAAAGTAAATACTTCTGGTCAAAATGATTTAAAACAGAGTACATAGAGTTTGTATATTTTCAATAAATGATTGAAAGTTATTTTATTATGTTGACAGCAGGTTATATAGACACAATAAAAACAATATAAACAATGAATATATCACACAACAATGTTGTTGTTAGCAGATACTGTATAACATTTTTAAAGGTATTTTTCAAACTTTTTGGGGCACCGAAAAGTAGGTATAATTTTAGTATGAAGGATGTGTTACCTGTCTCCACTCTGTGTGATAAGTCTCCTGCAGGTCTCCATCTGAACGTCCAGGCCTCTCTTCATTGAGCACATCTCCATGTATTCGTGCAGATGTCGGTTCATGTCGCTCTTTGCTGTGGCCAGCTCCAGCTGGGATTACAAAACATGCAGTCAGACATAATGTTCAATCACAAACACTGAATGTGTGTTTACCATAAAACATGTAACTAGTCCTGTACAACTAAGAGG